TAACTGTGAGTATACATGACTTGGGGTTACCATTCCTTCACTGATGCTGTTGCCCAGCACTGCTTCATAAAGCAATAGATCGGTGCCAAAGTTAAGCTCCATCCTGAAGTCATGTTCTAGGCTTCAGAGTCCTGGATGTAGAGGGTCTGGATCTTGTTACTCTGTGGAGAAAATACACTTGCCCATACATACAGTTTTAGGGTACAGTCCTGCCATCCCAACCAAGTTCCATTCCAAGTGACTCCCACAATTGGAATTAGGAATAAGGTATGAAGGTACTGCTTCCAAACTAGGTTTATCTATAGCCTTCTTTCTTTAAAAATTGTCAACATATGTTTCCACCAATGGGTGGCAGAAGTGCTTTCCATTATAAAGATGCTGCTTTGGTAATTTCTTTGGGGAGCTTTAAATGATCCATGCCTTACTTTCTACTTCCAGACCTAATCACATATCAATTGCACATTTATTCATTTAAAATATGAAGTTTTTATCAGCTTAAAGCACACTAAAATGCATGCATAAATAGAGAAAGTTCACACACACACACACACACACACACACACACACATTTAACAAAACAGAAACACTAAAAAAATTCAAAGTCAGCTTCCACCATCCTTATCTCAATGATTTGTGGGCATAATATCCAGGATATACCAGTTGTACTTCTTCCCCAGGAACTGTGGTTATCCACCTCCCTCTGTACAGTCAGTGGGTGAGTTTTTGATTTGCCTTGCCTAATTCATTCATATGAAAAGCAGTTGCTGCTGTTTTTAAGAGAACAGCTGCTTCAGCTTTTGCCTTGGTGTTTTAAACTGCTGCTATCTTCTCAGTCTATTGCATGTACCACATTTGATTTTTACTCCCGGAGGGCACGATCCTATGCAGGTTAGACAAGAAAGTGGGCTGCTGGGTAATGCTGGGAGTTGTCAGCATTTTTTCTGTCTAAACCTGCATAGGATTGTACCCTTAATCCCCATATAAGTGCATTTTTCCAGGCAGACTGCAGCTGGGGCAGGAAGGGTTCATTCTCCCTTTCCCACATGCTGCAAGACCCCAAACAAAAGCAAAACTTCTTCTCTTGCATGATAAGCAAGTTTATGATAACACTCTGCACTGGTTTAGGATAATCTGGGCCTGGTGGAAACCATTGAAGAAAGTACCTGTTTTGAGCAGATTTGGATGAGAAATGCATTGGCTACCTTTGTCTCCTGTGAAGTTGACATAAATCCTAAATTTATATCTCTGTATTTGCATATTTGTATACCGAGATATAAATTTGCATACAAAGATATCAGTTAGCATATGCAGACGTGTATCCGGATTCCCTAGGCCTGGCCATCTTCCAGGCAGGCATGAACCCCCAGCAGCAAGTGAGTTGGTCCAGGGACAGGTGAGCGGTGGGAGGGCTTGGTCTTAGGCAGTCCTATTCGACGATGAGAGTGGTGATGAAGGCGATGTCCTCGCAGGAGGAAGACGGAAGGAAAGATGGAAGGCTTTTTGGGAGGGGGCGTCAGAAGGGAGGGAGAAATTCATTATGCCTGCTGGCTTCCTCGAGGGAAAAGGTGTAAACTTTTTAAGAAAGCTCTTTATTGGTTGGACATGGAGGTCACAGGGAGAATGTAGGGATGGTAAAGCGGCGAGCCCCTGGTTGGGACAGCGCAGGCCACGTGCCGGGCTCTGGAATGCACCGCTGCCCGGCGTGTCTCCTGCGCCCGTCTGTCCGTCCCTCGCCCGCTCTCGCTGTGTGCGCGCTCTCTGGGCGGGGGATGCCCGCCGGGGAAGCCCTTCGAGCCGGCCGGAGGGCTCTTCCCCCCCAGGGTGGTCGCGGCTCGTCTCCCTGGAGGGTCACGGTGGAGCGGCAAGCGCGAGGCTCCATGGGCGCCCCCAGCAACGCCACGCCCGGGCTGCGGCTGGTGAGTGTCTTTCTCCTCGCGACCTTGGCCGCGACTGCCTGGCCCACCCTCGCGTCTCCTTCCGAGGGCTGCGGGGGAAGCAGCCGGGAGACCAGCCGGACGGGACCGCCCCTGCTTGCTCGGAGGTGCAGGAAGGATGTCTTGGGATGGGGGGACGAGGCGGGGCTGATCGGGGGTGGTCGCGTTGGTCCCGAGCATCGCAGGGAAGGAGGGAGGGAAGGAATCGACCACTTTAGAACACAACCAGAACGGATTAGCAACATCGCTCGATCTGTCAATCAACAGGGCTAACGACATGTTTATTTTAAAATGAAATTTATTAGGCAGCCTGAATAGCAAGAAAGCTCTTGGTATTCAGAGAGTTCAGAGTCCTGCTAGAAGATGAAGCTGTGGAGAATGTATAATGTAAGTCACTCCAGGTGTTTCGAGTAAACCTCGCAAAAGAGTTTGACAACGTGTTTTAAGCTGTCCTCCCGCCAGCTTCAGAGTTTGCTAGTATTGTTGTACTTTGAAAGGAACAGGGGCGTGTTGAAGAGTTTCCATTCTCAAACTTAGCTTGAGGTTCAAATTTAGAGTTGGCGAAGCGGATGATGGGTGCTCTGAAAGCTCTTTTCTGGAGCATCTCTAAGCGAGTGACGTCCACGCCCTGGCCTCCAAGCGCGGACGGGGCACAGGCTTAGCGGCAACAGCGCCTTGCATAAACAGCCCCCGTGCTGGTTGGCAGAACTGTTCCTTGGGGCCACGGCCTGGTAGCTCAGTGCTGCTGTGCTAAGTTAGCCAAGGGCAAAGTCGCCATCTAGGCCCGCCCTAGAAGGGTCACGTGTCGCGAGCACAAAAAGGGGACTCCGCTGCCAGTGAGTTGCACGTTCTCCATTCTATTGTGTAGCTGGCTGCTAGCTGATGAGGTTGGGTTGGAGGGGTATTTTGCTGACAGTGTTTGCTAGGGATTATTAGGCAGGCTGCATGTACACAGCTTTTGTTTGGGCTTTCCCCCTCCCTAAAAGTGCAAGGGCCCCCAGAGAATAATAAAAAAAAGGAAAGAAAGAAAAGAAAGCAGCGGGGAGCAAAATTGTGCAGTCACAAGAGTTTTCCATAGCAAAGGTTAGGAAAGAGTAATAGCATCAGAAAGAACCTGATGACAGCGAATTGGCAATGAGGTGTAGGAATTACCCCACGAGTGCACTAGAAGGACATCTTAAGAGTCATGTCTTTAAATTACATCAAGAACTTCTATGAAGGATGTGTAAGTATGAATACGAAAAAAAGTATCATCTCGTTAGCATACAGGGTTCAGAAGTAGGCTTTGTTATAAACAACTTTTTCATTGTAGAGGCTCAAAACTGCATTCCCAGTACACAGAACAGACTCTTTCCTCATAGAAAATGTTGCTCTACTATTTCTATTTTTGTCCTGCAACACATCCTATATATGTGTGTATGTATATATTTGAGGTCAAAACAATATTTTTCAGACTAAACAAGAACTAAGCATAGTAAGGTGATTGTACTTGTTGCATCAGTATGCTAGAATTATTGAAGCTGTACTTGAAAGTCTATAAATCTTTTTACTTGCCTGTTTGGAATACTCAGATGCATGTAGGCTGACAGTTTTTGAAGTTACATATCAGAATTGAAAAATGTTCGGACTGGTATATACATTGTTCCTCCCAGAATGATAATCATGGATGTGGTGGGCAGAAGGAAAAAACAGGGAACTTACATTAAAATAAGGAAAACAAATGATCCTCTGGACCAAATTTCTATGGCATGAATGTCTAATAGAATAATCCCTAAAAGCACTGGCCTGGGTCCATAAGTAATCCCAAATGGCACCTGATACAATTTGAAGACTGCAATTGGAAGGCAAAATCAGTTGACCCCTAACAGAGGAGGGGAGGAATGTTTCTAGTCCTGGAATATTATGTAGAATAGCCCTTTGAAATCAGCATTTGGTCACAGAGTAAGTTGAAGCAGTGAAGCCAGCAGTCCATCAGTGAGTAGGTTTTCCATTACCTAAGGCAGCATTCATATGATTACTTAAGAAATGGGTGCCAAAGGGGTCTTCAGATTTAACCAGGCATATTACATCCTTAATTAAAATACCAAATGCCTTCTGCTTATTGGAGGCAAATAATACCACAAAAGCAGTGTAGGCTCTGAATCAGTGGTGGGGGAGGGGGAATATAACCTTCCTCATTCAGTGAATGAGTATTGAAACACTTTGCTATAACGGAGATGAAATATTTAAGATACATAGGAGAAATGACAGAGTTTAAGATGCATCTTGAACCAGAATGTTTTTCACTGGGTTTTGGACTTTTTACCCTTCTTCTGTAATATAATCTCCTTGTAATTCTTTACAGCTTAGGCCTCCAACTGTGATTGGCCAATTCCACACACTTTTCTTTGGCTCAGTTCGGATGTTTTTCCTTGGAGTTCTGGGTTTTGCAGTTTATGGGAACGAAGCCTTACACTTCAGTTGTGAGCCAGACAAGAGAGAGGTTAACCTATTCTGTTACAACCAATTCAGGCCTATAACCCCACAGGTAAATCTTTTTTCTCTTGTAAGATGGATCCATTTGCCTGGACAGTAATCAAAATGTTGGTAAAGATTTAACGTTGTCCTACTCGTGATGCAGAATGAGATAGTAGACTGATAGCAGAACTGAGGTCTGCACTACTTCAGACAATGGGTAGACTATTACATTTTGTTATGCTCCTTCATCATGAACTTGCTATCTACCAGCCTTTCCTAACATGGTGGTCTCCAAATGTATTAGGCTATAAATCTCAGTATAGCCCAGCCGGGTCTTCTGCCTGGGACATACTAGGAGTTGTAGCTCAACACATCCTTAAGAAAACAGGATGATGGAAACTGCTGTCTATAAAGTTCCTTGCACTGAATAGCCTTCCGCAAACTTACACTTGCCAGATATTTTGGACTTCAGTTTCCTTCAGTCCCAGCCAGCACAGCCAATGACCCAGAATGCTGGGAGCTGTAGTCCCAAACATCTAGAGGACACCAGATCAAATTGAATAACTGAATTAAATATTGTCATTTAATTCTGCTGAATATATGAACCACAAGTATAAGGTTTTGAAGGCTGGTAGCACCTATAGATTCCCTTACCTTTGCAGAGAACTTTTTTTTTCCCTTTGGATATTCATGAGTACTGAAGATTTCCAATCCTGTGGGGATTCAGCTGGAAGTGGGGCTGGTTTCAGTAGCAGAAGGGGAAGAAATACTCATTTATATTCTCCTGCAGTAGACCTATTTCTGCCAAATGGGAAGCAGAAGAGGTTTGCGCCTCTGCTGTGTTTCTTAAGTGTAGCTGGCATGAGACATAATGCTTCATTATCTCAACTTTAGTTCGGTTCTGACAAATGCATTTCCCCCTAGAGATATTTTGTTTTAGGGACTATTTCTACAATGCTAGGAGGTCAGAGAGCAGAAACTACCTCAGAATCTACAGGCAGCAGATTAGCAAAGATTTCTGATTCCCCAGCTGTATAAAAGTAGCAACAAGAAAACAATCTTTCTGTGCCCTAAATTATACTGCTGGAAGTACTATACTGAGACAGGTGGAAACTAGAAGTAGAATTTTAGGTGCAAGGACTATGACTTCCACTCAATCCAGAGACTAAAAGTAAATTCCAATTTGTTTAATTCCAAGTGCACGCCTTTCTCGCTAGGATCGAGTTGGTGGATCTCTGTAGTTTAGAAGGTGGCTCCTACAAGCATTTAGTTTGCCTAGCCCTGCTGTAAGTTGCCCATGTACAGCTCAAGAGCTGTGGGATCTATGGAATGGGTTTTTCATTTTGATCATAGGCAGCTTCCTATCTGACTTTAAAGTCAGAGCATTGGTCCATCAACTTAGTTTGGTCTAGCCTCATTAGCAATGATTTTCCAAGGCCCTAACATTAGCCCTAACTGATGCTACCATGTGCTATACTGCTGAACTATGGTCTCTCCCACAAGCGACACTGCTTGATTGGGACATAACATACATAAAAGTTGTTACAACATGTGGTTTTCATATCCTGAAGCAGATATAGACTCGATTTGTTTTGTTAGTGGTGAAATCGTGCCCAACCCATCACGAACCCATGGACAACATTCCTCCAGGCTCTCCTGTCCTCCACCATCCCTCAGAGTCCACCCAAGCCCACACCCACTGCCCCCGTGACTCCATCTAGCCACCTCATCCTCTGCTATTCCCTTCTCCTTTTTCTGTCAATAGACTTAATAGCCAACATTTTTGTTACCTCCTAGGGTGGAATGTAAAAAACATGACTATGGGAATTAAGAATAATTACATAGATGTACATGCAATTGAATGATTTCTCTTCATTTAAAGTAAAATAATTTTGGAAGGTACAAAAAGAGAAAATCTAATTATTTATCACATAAATATCACTTTATTATTTGTATAACAGTATTTGCAATGATCTTTTGAATGAGCAACGAACATAACACTCATCACATAAATTTACTGCAGTAGGATGGAATCCATAGTAAGCACAACATTGAAGGGGTTGCATTTAGTTTACTGCCTGCATGATCTTCAGTGGATATTATATAGTTCCAAAATATAAACAAAATACTAAAAATTTGATTTAAAAAGATGGAATTGTAACTTCCCATTTGTTATATTTTAATAGAATCATTACAAATGTTTAAAGGGTTGCATCAAAAAGATTCTCTGTTATTTTTGTGTAATATTTACATGCCACTATTAATCTGAAAAAAAACCTTAAAGTACTTCACACACACAAAAGTAACAGTAAGAAAACACTATGCATGCAGATACATATCCAGTGAGTTGCTTCAAGGACAGCTCTGAACTGGGAAGAGCCAAGGTAAAAAACAAAATGTCTTAAACACAGCAGAGTTGAAGCCTGACATATCTCAGATGAGAGGTCATTCCAAAACCCTATATTTTCTTTAGCAAAAGATAGGGGGAAAACTGACACATTATCTATACATTGATCCTATTCACACTATCAAAACAAGCCAGCATAGATTTTAAAAGGAACAGGGGTTTCTTTTAAGCGGCTGGGTGCAATTTACCTTATCATGCCTTGCCAAACAACCCTCAGATAAACTTACAACAAACTATGACAACATGGACAACATGTTTGAACAACACAATAAGCTGTAGCCAGGTAGGGATGAGGTAGCTGTTAACCCACAGTTGCTTGTTTTAATCATGCAAATCAACAGAATCTTAAGCAAGTTAATTCTAACTTTATTAAATGTTCAGAGGCATTGTAAAAGCCCACATTGTAAAAGCCCACATTACGATTCATATAATATTAGCCACTACCAATTTTATTTTTTACTATTAAATTAATGAAGGGTTAATAGCAAAAGTGAAAAAGGGAAGCTCAATTGCATAGGTAAAAGGAAAAAAAGGTTAATCATGAATACCAGTTTTTGAATAAAGTGTAGTGGTAATTTTCTACATGAATGGTAGTCCTTTAGTGATCTACAGTGAACAACCAAGTTTTTAAAAAATTCAGAAGACACGCAGAGGGATGTCTGTTATCAGGTAGAGTCATACATGATCTGACAGTGAAGTTTCTGCTACACTTTAGGTATTCTGGGCTTTACAGCTAGTGACCGTACTGGTACCTGGAGCCATTTTCCATCTTTATGCTGCATGTAAAAGCATCGCTCAGGAAGATATCCTCCAAAGGCCTGCCTACACCGTTTTTTATATTCTCTCTGTTCTGTTAAGGATCATCCTTGAAGTTCTGGCTTTTTGGCTTCAGAGTCAACTCTTTGGTTTCCAGGTGAACCCACTCTACCGATGTGATGCAGGAGCCCCTGATAAAAAGTTTAATATTACCAGGTGCATGGTGCCAGAACACTTCGAAAAGACTATCTTCCTTATTGCCATGTACACATTTACGATGATTACAATTGCATTGTGTGTTGCAGAGATTTTTGAGATCCTGTGTAGAAGATTGGGCTTCTTGAATAGTCAGTAACTTTATTGTTATGATGACGTGTTCCTTTGTTTATTATTTTTATAGAGAATGGAATTTTCAATTCACAACAAAATTAGTCCTTCAGATAATGTCGGGTGACACTGGTAACAAAGTTTGATGACACAGAGTGGATCCAAATTTAAGCTGGATCAACTGTGCTTGTGAAAGTAGAATTCCCAGCTCCAACTTCCCATGGAAGCCCTTTAAAATATTACCCAGAGATATCATGTTCAGAGGATAGGCTGCAAGTAATTGTGAGCTACTCACATGTGAGTAGCTCATGCGTATTTATTTATTTATTACATTTTTTATAAAAGCCACCCATTAGCATCACACTCTCTGGGCAGCCATTACAATAAAAGCATAGAACTCATGGGTGTCATATTAAATTGTGTTCTGTGAACCTGGCAAGAGTGGATTAAAAGAGGGATGTTTAATCCTCATGTAAGGCATGTTTGCTGAGTCTCCATGACAGAATAACCCCTGAGTTGGTATTGCATATTTACGGTAGTGGCCACACCCATTGACATGCACTGCAGCTTCACCATAGGTTAACTAATCCATAGTGGACTGCTAAGTCATGTGAGGAGCCCAACTGAATCAGGAGATGCTGCTGAATGGAGTGACCTATTGTGTGGCAAAGAGTGGCAGATCCTCCAAAACTGGGTGGCTTTCCACAAGTGGAATTTTTCCTCTTGGGAAAGCTCCCTTCCTCTTACTGAGGTCCTCGATTGAAACTAATGAAGTCAAGTGGCACCTTAAAATACTCTTCGTATATCTACAAATTTCTATGGGGAATAGTTAGTGGATTTTTGAAATCCATAGTTACTTTTACACACATACAACACTACCATATCATTCTGATCTGAAGCACATTTATAAAGAATGTGTTCATTCTGTGCGTAAGCTTGCAAATCTAAGAACGCCTAATGAAACTTGGTGCCACTGAACTCAATAGGACTTAATTCCAAGTAAACCTGCACAAGTTGGCTGTTAGTCTGTTGAATCATTCACAGCATTAGCTATTCATCTAAACGTTTAAGATCACACTGTCAGCAGTTTGTAACTTGACTGGTAGGAACAAATGAGAAACCACTTTCTTTTACTTTTGAGGAGATGTTTGCTAAGGGGAAAAATTAACTACCAAGGAGACACTTACATTAAATAGAATTTTAGTTAAATTTAATTTAGAGAAAATGAACTAATGTTGATAATTATAAAGGTAATAATCAACAACCCCAGAAGAACTCAAAGCTCTAACTATCAGTCTTGAATTATTATAGTCACTAAACTCCGTTTTATAAAAGAGTTTTAAATCCTATGAAAGGAAAATTATCTCTGCCACATGTCAAGTACCTTAAAACCACAGGACTTACACAACTCATTTACCTTGTCCTAGTTTCCTTGTTCTTTCACCAACTGCTTATCTTTAATATAAGACACTGATAAACTATTTCCTTTCTTATTGTTTTATAATTCCTACTAATGAAGTAACTTGCCAGACATATTTTACACAGAGAAAATTATCAATGGTGGAAAGAAAGAGACTTCATGCAGTACTTCCTGCAGTTTTAGATAAACACATGTTTGTTTTGACATCACTGTGCGATAACTTGCCTGATAGAGGGTTGTCACACTGGCGTGCCAATTATATTCATCTGATAGATAACTGTTAAGGGAAACGATAAGATAAAACATTTCTTCTATTCTTCTGACATGAGACCTTGGGCAAATCACAGGGAATAGCGGGGAGGGAGTTTATTATAGCAAGTCAGCCTCTTGAAATGTTGATCATTATAACCATCTTGATCAAAACACCCTCTGATTATAATACATCAATATCTAGATATAGGACATGAGTAAAAAGATAATATTTTAAATCTTCTACATAGTAAAACATCTCTTCAACTGATTTCTTATGGGCTACCTTTCAATTTAGGGCCTCTTTGTATGAATTTTGAAGGAAAATAATCTAGCAAAAGCAACTGATCCTACGTATAATATCCCCACAAGTTCAACTCATGAAACACAAGAGGAATTTCTGTGTAAGCATATATAGAACTGGTGAGCACTTCACAGATAATGCTTGTCAATTTTTCTCATTAAATACTGAATTTACAATTTTAAAAAACCCTACACTGTCATTGATAGGTTTAGGCTACAAGTCCCTCTGAATTAAGACTAGACCATAATCTAAATATGATGACTTAGAAATACTCAAAATTAACAATACTATACATATAATGGGACTGCAGGTGGCACAGTGGTTTAAACCACTGTGCTGCTGGGCTGGTTGATCGAAAGGTTGCCGGTTCGAATCTGCACAACGGGGTGAGTTCCCGTTGCTCTGTCCCAGCTCCTGCCAACCTTGCAGTTCGAAAGCATGCAAATGCAAGTAGATAGAAAGGTACCACTTCGGTGGGCAGGTAACAGCGTTCTGTGCACTTCGGTGTTTAGTCATGCCGGCCACATGACCATGGAGACTGTCTGCCGACAAACGCTGGCTCCCTGGGCTAGGAAACGGAGATGAGTACCACCCCCTAGAGGCAGGCATGACTGGACTTAATGTCAAGGGGAAACCTTTACCTTTTTATACATAGAATACAAAAATTTACTCATTACTTCTTTTAATTAAACAGTATAACATAGGATGTTCAAAATAGAGTAAAACTACCACGGTATTATATCCAGGCACAGCCTAGTTACTTCAGGTCACCTGGGCAATGTTTTATCAACAGTATTCAACCAACACATATACAACAGATGCAATGCAAAAACCATGAACAGGCTTTCTTGGAAGATGTTATTGTGTACCTTTCCTAAACATTCTGTCACTTATGTAATACTTATGTTTTCTGTTTTCTAGACCCTGTTGTCACTGCCTGCTACCCAAGTGTAGATTCAAGGGTTCTCGCTGTATAGCTCTGTCTCTAATTTTAGCTCTTTAACAAAATAAGGCATTACCCAAGTCTTGCAAACAGGAGATAACAAGCAGCATGCATTCTTGGAGTTCTCATAATCAGCCTAGCAACAGCCCTACCATGTCATTTTTGCACAAATTAATGGCCAAAATTGTGTGATGCCATTGATTTCCTTAAGCAAAGCACTGTTGGAAGGGAAGACAACAGAGAAAGCTAAACCTGCTTTCTCTAGGTGACATATCCAACTCCTTTGCACATCAGTCTTGTGATGGCAGTCCATCTTGGGAAAACGAACTTATTTTTTAGAGCTTAGGGGAAATTATTTGAAACATTAACAATGCATATTTCATCCAAAGGGTTCAGAGTGGTACTTTTTCATTCCAGTATCTTATAGGTTAGGTAAGTGACTTAACAGAGGTCATCCAGTGAGCTTCACAGATAAATGAGAATTTGAACCTACCCACACTGGGTCCCACCTGACATGTGAATAATCTGAATTGGATAACATTTAATCAGTTATTAAAACCAGTTTAGTTAGTGGATAACTAAACAGCATAGAATCAGGTCTCCTGTTCTGCTCCAGAACAATTAATTATGGATCCTGACTTCTCAAACAGTTGCCACAATAGTTGAATGTTCTATGTTTCTGCATAGATATGAGTTACATTTTTTGCAAGCACCATGTGAAGAAATGCATGCTCTGAATTACTTTGTCAGCATTTTAAGCCCCTGCTTAAAATGTTTAAAAGCAGGCTGATGACATGATTGAAGGATGATGTTTTTTTCCATGCTACTAAACGCTTCTATAGATCCTACTGTTATTGAAGGGGCAAGAGCTGCCGTTATTGTTTTACTGATCTGTTGGCAAACTTTAAATGGTTTGGGTTGTAATCCGATGCATGTTTAGATAGAAAAGTTCTCCAACTCCCAAAATAACCAGTTATACTGCCTGAGGAATGCTAGGATTTGTAAGGCCTTTTCTATCTATACATTCATAGGATAGTATCCATCCTTATTGTCATTTGGTTGCTAGATGCTTACTATTGTTTTGATCAAATATTCATCTGTGTTTCTACCTATATACAGGAGCTGTTTGTTTCAAATGTATGATCTCAGGTACAATAAAAAAATTATTCTTAACATGTGTGTGTGTATATATATACCGAACAAAGTGTACTTGTACATTTTACATTTAAAGTATAATGAAGAGCATCAACCATGATTATATCTAAAACCTAATTTTGGAACATGGGAAACATTTTTGATGAGGAGTACATGTTGGGATGGTGTAAACTGATGTCCTGCAACAGCAGGGGTTTGGACACAATAGCCTTCATGGCCCCTTCCAACTCTACTATTCTATGATTGCACTGTGACTTAACAGAGGCACAGTGGCCATGTCCTATCACCTGCTGTTAAAGGAGCAATATTAAAAAATTTAAAGTGCCTGGAAGCAGTGGAGGGTAGCAGTGGAGGGTCTTGAGCAGAGGGTAACAGTTTTGTTTATAGAGCTGATATTTATTTTTCCAACTAGAGCTCCAGCAGGGCAGGCAGATATTCAAAAGGTTAAAGTACACTATCACACCATGGAAAAAAAATTACCTGCTTGATTTCTGCTTTTAAAATCCAGGTGCTTTAACAGAAAAAAAATGGCAAAACTTAACAGCATGTTCCTTAACATTTCTCCTTGTTTTCCCCATCACCATAAACATTATTTGCTGTTTTCTATTTTATCATTCACTGTTATTTCCACCCTTCTCCACTTATTAGCATGATTTTGCCTGTGAGCATCCCTTAGCAACTCTAAAAATGGATGAACAGGATACAGAAAAGTCCACAAGGTCTCGTGGCTTTTAAAAACTTCTGTTTAATTTTGTTAACCAGCCAGAGAGCATCAGCTATAGGGCAGTACAGTATAAAAATGAAATAAATAAAAAGATATTTTCCAAAATCAGAGCTTTATAAATAGCTCTATGAACAGCTATTATACATGGAGAAAAATAGTTCCTCCATGTAATGAGGGAGTTTGAGCACCAGATAGTGAAGGTTAACAGTGGAAGCTCATTTATTGTATCTTTGCTAGAAAGTTTTCAATGACACCTGACTAGTTTGATGGAAACAAAACACAAGGCTGTAACCATATTCTCATTTGTTTGGCAGTAAACACCACTGAACCAGTTGGAATAATTTCTGAGTCAGGATGCTTCCAGATAAGACTTTCATGGCACCACTGTCCTGAGTCATTCATGGAATTTCACAGGGGTCTAGTCAAACTTGTTATCAACTCATAACCCTCTCATTGTTTTGCACCACTTCTTCAGTCATTTCTCTTACTACATGTAATCCATTAAAATCTAAAATACTGAATAGCTTGCACAATGCTTTCTCATTGGTAACACTGGGCCCTTCCATCTAGAATCACCCTCTTTGACAAGGCTACATGTTTGCTCCACCATATTATTTCATGCTACCCACTTCTCCATGCGATGAATGTTCCAGGGGCAAGGTGCATTCATTCCTTATAGACTATCCTTTATAGTCTCCTTTGTGTAGCAGTGTATTTACTTTATTTACAAAACACCAAAGTAGTGCATTAATGAAGGCAAAGAAGCATGTCTACAAGGCAGCAGTTTTGCTAATCCATATCAAATATCCAGAGAAAGTCCAGCAACCCTAAGGTCCTTTATTTATTTATTTAAAACATTTCTATGCCGCCCCCATTGCAACAAAGCCTCAGGGCGGCTCACAACATCCATAAAATAAACATAAAAATACAATCAATAATTTAAAAACTGGTACCATCTCAGCTATATATATTAAAATCTATAAATACAATAATAATAAATTAACAGTTAAAATAACTTTTAAATAAAAAGGTCTTGGCCTGGTGCCGAAAAGCAAATAACGACGGCGCCAGGCGGACCTCTCTGGGGAGCGCATTCCATAGGTGGGGCGCCACCGCAGAAAAGGCCCTCCTCCGGGTACTCACCCTCCTAATATCCTTCATGGAGGGTTCCCGGAGAAGGTCATCCACTGCCGATCATAGGGGGTGGGCAGGCATATATGGACGCAGACGTTCCTTTATGCATATGCCTGCATCTTCTCCCTCCTAAGGTGGATGATGGGTACATGTATCTAAGATCTCACTTTCACTGGACTTTACTGGGCCATGCAACAACGTGTCTATCTGTTGTGCATGTGCGTCCTGACAAATTACAGGTGTACTTTTGGGAGGCTCTTCATGCTGACTATACTGATGATTTAGATGACAATGATGAGACTATTTATGAAACGGTTCAGACTCCAGCTGTAATTCAAGGTCCTAAGACCCAATGGGAAATTCCAGTGGAGAAGATTAGCCCAAGGGCAGACGGGGGGACCAGTCTACCAGGCCGTGGGGACAGGAACCACAGCCTTAGGGAGGGGACACTGAAATGGGAAGTCTCTGACAGAGAATCTACACCCCCTGAAGTGGTAGACCCAGGTGTCATTATCGGAGGAAAGCCCAATTAGGCACACAAAGGGAAGAGCAGAGGCATGCACACTTTCACAGCGACCCTCACCCGGAGATGAGGCAATGGGTTCGTAAAGTGAAATTTGGGAAATGAACTATTGAAAGGGTTCAGCTCTTCACTTTGTGTATGCTCAAAGGCTCAAATGTAACAATAAAAACAATTAGCAAAGAAATGCTGGTTAGACTGTTATTGCTTGGAGGGAGAAGGTCACATCATGACACTAACAAAGAAATGCTCTCTGGTTTCTTGTTTTACCTTGAAGCATAAGGCAAAAAGTGGAGGGAGGTAGAAAAGTTCCAAGTGGAGTCATCAGTCTATTCTTCCAAATTTGCTCTGAATGAAATTTCAATGCTCCATGACATGTAGAGTTAGCACAACAGCCATCTGGCCCAAAGATATGAGCCACCAGCATAAGCAAGCAGTTCTGACAGAAGTGTAAATGTTCACTGAACATGTACTGGAATATCTTTAGCCATTACAGACACACTGTTGGGTTTCATCCGGGAAAACCACACATGCCTTTGGCAGAAACTGGCATTGCAGGCACATTTTCAATACATGCATCCCGCTTAAATTCTGGTTCTTGTGCATTTATATTCCACTTTTTTTCTTCGTGTGAAGATCCCAAGGTGGCTTACATAGCTGCATTTTAACCTCATAAAAACAATTCTGTGAGAGTCTGTGACTGGCTCAAGGACATTCAGGGGGCTTCATGGCCGAATGAGCACTAGAACGTGGATCTCCTGGGTGGCAGTCCTCCACGATCACCACCTCACCATACTGGCTCTCAAGACATGAAAAGGCACAGGAGGTTTGCCACAAATATTTTAGCTATATATAGCTTGCTTTTGTACATGCCTCTCTTTTTCCAAATTAAATAAATTGTAATGCTGGCAAAGTCATGAAACAAAAAGAAGCCTACAAAGTACACTGCTATGTCTTTAAAATCTACTAGGAATACAACGAGTGTTCATCGTGGTATTTCTAGCCACTGTAATTATTTCTCTGGGTCACCAGGCTTTTTAGAGCACTCGAATATGCCAGACCAAAAGGAGAGTAAAATAACAACAACAACAACCTCTTCTCCACCCCAACCCGCTTCTGATGAACTTTTCCGATTAAAACATGAAGATTTCAAATACTGTAACGAACGGAGTCTTGATATTTTCTAAGCTTTCCTGCTTCATTAGGTTTTCACATCTTTTCCCACGTCCCCGCAGAACTCTTATCCGCAAGTGGTCTCACTTCAAACAAATCCCGGAAATTTTCCTGAAAAGCCATTGAGGCCGCATCCCCTTTACTTACCCTTCTGCCTTCCCCTCGCAAGGTGTCGCTGCCAGGGAGCCGCGGATCTTGCGTGAACCACGCCCCAGGCGCATGCGCACATGGTGGGCCGCGTGTGCCCCGGTGTCACCGTTCCGGAAGCGGAACTACCTGGCTTAAAAGATTGCTCGGTGGGCGGTGGTGGTTTTACTGTCTGGTTACCTGTTTTGAATTCAGCCTGTAACGCTATGGCGGCCTCGGGCTTTCCGCCGTTGCCCGCTCAGTTCAAGCCCATTCAGCATTTCCTGAGAACCGCGCAGGAGCTCGAGAAGAGGGAGCCTGTGGTGGCTTATTATTGTAAGTGAGAGGCGTTAACGGCCTGCGGGCCCCGCCTACGTAGCATTTCTCAGCATCCCCCCTCCTCTCTCCCCTTCCCCTCCACTACTGTGCTTCGTTAGAACGAGGAACTGGAAGGCGCTTAAGGGGATTTAACTCCCCCAACATGCTCTCCACAACGCCCCCCCCCCCCGCCTTCTTCCCACTCAGTGCGTATCTCGCCGCAATTCCTGGTCAGGATTGAGCCGTGGGGAAACTTAGTGCAGTGTTAGTCCTGGGGCAAGATACCTCTTTCAAATGCAGCTGCAGATCCCCCAGCTCAGCAAATGACTCCCTACTCAGTAAGTGGCCATGTGCCAGCTGCAACATGAAGGTGAACAGTACTGGCCCCGTTCGTGTGCACTGGCGTTCAGAGCATGTTCCATTTGAATGCAAAATGTAGGTTGTGTATGCTTTATAGTACACCTTTGTCAGCTTGAGGTCTCACCAGGTTTGGCTGTTAAGTAAAAAGCAGAATGTTCTCCCGTGCATTATGTGTTAAACGCTCAGACTGTTTATACAGGGTTGCCTACTCCAGGGTCATCTTTTTTCTGTATTCCACTTTTCCCTATTGCATGCATTCCTACTTTCCTCAGTACTGTGTGCAACCCTGCTTCCATCCATTTGACAGTTCACTTTAGTCTGCATTCACTAATAATTTTATTTATTTCCTTCCACCATCCTCCTATTTGTAGGTCAGCTGTAGCAGAAGCTGGAGGGTTGTGTGTTAAATTAAAACGTGACTATTACTTTTTTGTTCAAAATCAGATGTCCAAATGGTCCAAAACAATGATGCCCAAAACCCAGGCAATTTTCTATTCCAGAATTTTATTTTCTAGAACTTAATCAGTAGGAAAGGATTGTCATTGCATTTGGCCCACTTATTACTCAAGTGGTGGATAAGATTTAATGCTAGAAAAAAGCTTTCAAATATTTCACAGCACAGAGTATTTTTAGGTTTTTGGTCTGGGACTCTGTCAGACATTAATCTTAGACTTCTCAGTTTTCTTTATCAAGTAAATAGAGAGGTGTTTGAAAACACACAACAAACAATTTAGCACATGGAAGAGTTGAGGAGCTTCCATTGGGTCATGCAGTCATTCCATTTACGAAAGTCCCTAAAATTCAGTGTGAAAGTTTAGAAAAGTGAAGCTATGGGTCTTTTCGGCCCTAGGGAAATCCATTTGTGTTATGATACTATTTTAAGAATATATTGTTAATATATACAATAATTATTAACACTAATAAGTATCAGTATTGGCATTAATAATTAATATTGAATATAATTTGATATATCATGTCCAATAATTATTGGGACATAATTATTAATGCTTAATGGAAAGAAGTTGAATAAAATAAGCTTGCATAGTTTTATATGACACTTGCAAATGTTTATGTACACTCAAAAAGAAGTCCCATTGCTACTAAAGTGTACTTAAGGTTGCTGCTATAGTCTGTATGATGATGAATGGTAGAGATGGTTTAACTTGGAGTTCTGCACTGAGCAGGGGGTTGGACCCAATGGCCCTCTTGGCTTCTTCCAACTCTGCTATCCTATGATTCTATGAAGAGGTCAGTTGTAATAGTAACAATTGTTGATGGCTTATATCCAGAGAAGGCCTAGCTGAAGTGGGTTAATGTAAGGTGATTGCCTGGTCTACACAGTTCACTATGCTCTACAAAAACCTTCTCTTCTTTATGGTACTTCATTCAGCGAAGGTGCCAAAGCCTCTTAACTCATATCTTTCAGAAAGGGGTCCTCACCTTGAAGGGGCTTGGTGAGAGAAAGTAGGGATAAGGCAGTCCCAACACATCCAGTTGCTGTCCAGATTCTTCAGCTAGCACTTCTCTGAATTTAAACCATAAAGTTTAACACATTATGTTTCCTTAGTCACACTAGGCAGAATTCACAGAGCTACTAAGCAGGTAGGCATGCCCTCTGGAATCTTTAACTTTTTGCCTTTTCCCATACAACTTTTTGCCTTTTTCCATACTTTTCAGAACTCTCCTCAGGCTTCCTATACTTGATGCCTGCAAGAGGTTTGGGAATTCAGCTTTTGTCAGCCCTGGCCAGTAAGGTCAATGGTCAAGAATCCTGAGAGTTTTAGTCCAAGATCTTAGGAGGGCACCAGGTTGGGGATGACTGATCTGTTTAGCTTCAGAGGATTGCTGTCCAAAGTCTGCCTTCAACATGATGAAGTGATAGTCGTGGTCTTTAGAACTTAGCCCTTTAAAAGATATTTCCTTTAAAAATAGGTGGGGTTTTTAGGTGCGTCTTGCTAGTAATGGGTCTCCATACAGCTTCTGAGTCCAGATACTAAAAATGCCCATTGTTTTTTAGTTCATTGTTTCTATTTTAAACTTACATTTATTTATCTGAGCTAAAAATAACTAAAACATGCTTAGATTTAGCGGATACTTGTTTAACAATAAGTGCATTTGTTTTTAACAAAACAATACATTTATACTTTAAAATAAATTAATGAAGTAGTACAGTGAATGAAATAGAACTTTCATTCATTTAACGTTCCTAAAATTAAATTCAGCACTGTAAGAAAACAAGTATCCTTATGAATAAGCCAGCAAAAGTTACTTGCTTATAAGTCAGGATTTAATTTTCAGTTATAACACTGTTTTGGTAGGCTAAGGACAAGCCACGGTTCTGGCTTCAGATGTAACCAACCAGGCAAAGGATGGAAAGACCCTGGCTTGTTTATCCACTGCCAGGAAGAGATAAGCAGACACAATGAAGACATATGCACTACATGCTGGCTTGTTAGCAGTAGCTCAGAGTTTTAAAAAGACCCTCTGTGTAGTCATTAAGTACAACTGGATCAATCTCTAAATGTAATCAATGCCCTTACTAAATACATTGAGTTAAATAGGAAGTTTTCTTTGCAGAAATGAATCCTGTCATTTTTCAAATACGAATGTTATTACTTTATGAAACGTAAGAATACTTGGTAAATATAAACATTATAACCTGCTGAACAAATCTTGAATCTTTCGGTGATCTCATGAGCACTTCTATTTCCCTGCATTATTGTTATTCCCCTCCCCCTCTATGTGAGGGTAAAGCTGGACCAAGACTGTGCAAAGCAGAAAGAGGCAAAATTGGAAAAAAGCAAAAATAAAATACTTCATTTTGCAGCTTCCAATATTCTCATACTTAAGCTGACCCTATCTGGGAGAAAGCTGCATTATGTTTAAAAAAACTTATTTTGTTGAGTAGGTGTGTGTATAGAACTGCACTACTTCAAAATATGGCTGCCAGTCATAAGTAAAAACCAGAATGGAGATATTTTGAAGATACTCGCTTTAAAAGTAAACAAGGAAAGCATAGTGAATATATTATTGTTACATGCTGCCTGATCATTTCTGACTTAAGGTGACTCTATGAACAAACACGCTCCAAAATGTCAGATTAGTTGTTTACTGCGAAAGGGAAACATTAAAGATTGATGATAGTAAAACAAAGATTGTTGTTTTCGGCAAAAGTAATACCATTCACAGATGAACAATTAATGCCCAGCAAATAGAGCAATGTCCCTCTTTTAGTACTTGGGTATTATTTTTCACAAGTACCTTTCCTGGAAAGCACACCTATTTACTGTTTTGACAACTGCCCAGCATACAGTAGGTTCTGTCTTGGCATTCTTTTATTTTAAAGGAGGGCAACTGGTTGCCCCTGAACTTAAAATATTCCAGGGCAAGGTGATAGCCCAGATGTTGTATGGAGCTGAGATTTGGGGGTGGGATGAAAAGGTCATTGTCCAACTTGAAGTAATCCAACATAACTTCATAAACAAGATCTTGCCTCCTCCAGGCCACTCCCACTGCCTGTTTAAGGATGGAAGTAGTGTTACCTTCCATTGCTGTTAGGATACACTTTGCATTGCTGGAGTATTATAAGAACTAGGAAGCCTTCAAGAATCCCATCTTGCCAAACTATGTTTTCTCCATTACACAGATAGGACTCAATGGACTGAACTCCTGTACCCCATTCTACAAATGTATTCCCTACCATCCATGAACTCAGATCCTGGGATAGAGAAAATATTAGAGATTCGCTTTTTGAAAAGGATGCTAATAAAGATGCCACTGTAGTTCAGTAATCCAAATTTTCACCCTGGTGAAATTTTCATCAGTATAAAGCACATAGAAGTCTTTCCCAGTATCTGGTTAACATAACCAGTGCTCCACTGAAAAAGGCTTTAACATCTCTTCACCTGCAGACAATGGCTTCTGCATATCTTGAAGGTTGATTTTGTAAGCTCCCTGTTGGAACAATTTCTCCGACCTTGTGGTGTTGGTCAAGTGGAGGACATAATCTACTATGTCCTCCACTGCCCCATTTACAAGGAGTTCAGGACCAAATTACTAAAGGTAGAAGTACTTAAGTGATCTGACCTTGAGAAACTTATCTATCTTCTTACAGATATGTTTCCAACTGTTAGCAATCAAGTTGCCATTTTTGTTCTGCTGTCATTTAAACTTAGAAAGAAATTCTTAAAATCTCAGTGTGCTTTGGCTTTATTTTGTTGTAACTTTTTATTTATAATATTTTATTACTTTAACTTATAATTTTACTAGTCCATTGTTTTATTATTACCATTTTATGGTACTTTTATGTTATGGCCTGTGGTTACAACAATAAACTTATTTACCTGATTCTCCCATGTTTTCATTGTTTATGTTTCTATACCACCCAATAACCAAAGCTGTCTGGACAGTTCGCACAGGTTAAAATCTTAAATAGTAAAATTTAAAAGCGTGTGTGTTTCTGTCTTGTATGCTTATGTTATATCTAAAAACAGTATTAAGCAGCCAACAAGAAAAAATCAAGACCTGATTAAAACTTCATGATCTGCTGCAAAATGCCTGGGAGAATACAGTGTTAACCGGGCACCAAAAAGATAACAATGTTAGGGCCAGGCAGGCCTTGCCAGTGAGATCATTCCGTAATTGGGTTGGCAGGGGTTAGATGGCTTGCTGTAGATGCTGAGAGTTGCAGCCTGGCACACATAGAAGGTACTAGCTTGGAGATGGCTTTACAAATTAATTCTAACAATCCAAAGAACTCTCCATAATCTGCTGACACATGCTTATCCATAAAGTTCAGTTCACTTCAACAGTTGGGAAGCCTTCAGTTCTGCTGTACTTATTCATTCCACTTCACATTGCACCATAGATGTATTCCCATGGCATATATGTACTGTTTCACATACTTGCTAGGGATAATTGCCTGAAAAAATGTTTTTTTTTTCCACAGAAAAATTAAGTAGTGAAAAAAGTACCCTATATTGCAGACAATAACATGGTTTAGTAGTCAGCTTTTTCACCATTATTCAGGAAATACATGGATGAGATTAAATAAAATATTAAAATAAATTTTAAATAAAAATCTGAGTGAACAAGGAGAGTAGAAATGATAATATGAAGCCAGGATTAAAATGTAGCAATTGCTATTGCTTTTAGAAGGGTCCTGTTAGCTTTACCAAATACATTTCAGACTTGTAAACTTTGTTGATAGTAGCATGTATAACTTGTTTTTTCAATTAATTGTGTTGTAAAACCAGCTGTTGTCTTCAAAGAACAGCATGTTCCACTGGAGTTCATAGTTCTCAGAGTGCATATGCAAGTCATTTGACACAGTTTCAAACATTCCTTGCTGTTGAGGGACAGAGTAATTAATTGGGACCAGTGCAGAAGTTGTCAGCCTTGCATCTATTGCCATAGAATGATGGTATATAAAGTAAAAACTAGCTTTACTCATATCTTTGCAACACCAATAAAAGCATGGTTTGATTGGTTTCTGAGTTCTGCCACTTTACATCTCTGAGTGCTTCAGAGAACTCCTAGCAGTACAAATCCAAGGCATTTTGAACTTTTTCTGTCTTGGCTGATTTTTTTTATGATGATAAAGGAGGTAGATGCAGCAATACAAAAATGTAGGAGTGCTATAAATGGAAGAAAAATACCATCTGCTCCCTCTTTAAACCCAGTGAGATCAAAGGGCAACTTAGTGCTTGGCTAGTACATAAAGAAAACTAGGGCAGCATTCAGAAAAGCCCAGCACACCCACAAAGCACTTCTGTGCATACATGGAAAAGGGGACTTATTTTTATCTTTTGATCAACATATCACACCTGATTTTTTCTTTTTTTTACAGGCAACTTCAAGTGGTGCTTTAGATTCTGCCTAGTTGGGCAGCCCACTATGTATCCTGGAATTTCCTAACTCTTATAGTGTGAATGGGTTAACAGTCAGTACAGCAAAGTGAGGGCACTAGCTAACTTATAGAAGGTATTATGGAGCGGGATGGTCAGAAGAATCTTGGGCCTGTCATTTTTGGCAATAGCAACATGCAGTTTACTGTAAATGTTAATGCAGTATGGGTAACTTGAAGACCTCAGTAAGGTTAAAGTTATAAGGCAGATTGATTGTAAAAATGTTTAATGCATCCTACCTTCTCTGGCAGAACTATAAGTTGTTCTAGGAAAAACTATAGATGAGTTTCTGACCCTTGAGAACATAAATAAAGCACAGTTTACACCTTCACTTGGTCATAACATTTATGTATGTACTTTTTAATTCTCCACTTGTCACAGTTATGTTGTCAATCAGCTTTTGGCTGTTTCGGAACTAAACTGTCTCAGAAGTTGTCAATGAAATCTATTAAAATGGTTGAAGATTTTTCTCAGATTTGCTTTCAGCATATCATCATGTAATATGCTCAGTAGCAATTGGAACTGCTTTCGACATGTAGGCAGTATCAGCAAACTGGTAAAGCAATTCATAAGAATAAGACATGCATAATTCATTACATTCTTAAAAATCAATCTTACAACATCATACCAGGATTATGCAGTACCATCACAAATGTCATAGTACTTGTTCCAAGCTATTCCCTAAATGAAACATTTGGAATGTTCTAGAGTAACATAGGATAACAAGAAGATCTACAAGGATCTAGGGTAACATAGGAGATACATGAAACATTCACAGATTCATTAAAATAGCTTGGCAGCGATTGGAGCTCAGTGGTAAGCACATGTTTGTTGTCAGGATATCACAAGTTCAATTCCTGGCATCTCCAAGTAAGAATAGGAAAGAATTCTTCCTGAAAATATGAACACCTGCCAGCCAGTGTAGATAATAGTGAGCTTCAAGATCAATAACCTAATTCAATATAAAATAGTTTCCTATGATTCTGAGTAGAATAGTTTGACAGTTCTTGTTGTTGTATAACAGTTTGTTTTAAAATGCCAATATTTAGAGGTTAATCACTGATGCAGGACATGCTAGTTAAGACTTCTAATCTGTCCCCTTTTAAATTATGGCATATATTGCTTGCTTTTTGGCATAAGTCTTTTTGAGCATATGCTTGCATCTCTAACAAAATTAGAACATGGACAGATGAAACAGTTGAAAAACCTGCGTTGACAAACTTCATTGTAGCTCATTATATAAAGCCAAGAACTCCTTTAGGGTCCAGCATGGGATATGCTAGGTGCAGCATAAGAAGTACACTGTTAATGCTGGACATGTCAAGTTACAGGCAGCTGTTCCTTGCTTGTATGTGGTATTTTACGTCAGTATCTGAACTCTCAAGCAGATACTGTGGGACATGGCAAAATTTTAAAGAATGTTGTTAAGCTTAGCCTAAAGCTTGAACATTCCCACTGTGATGTTTTATGTGTTCCTTTGATCAGACTGCCACAAACTGCTTTAGAAGGTCCAGTTTCAGAGCTTCCCATATAGCATGACAAATGGGAGGAAAAACACAGAACCTTGGGCATGCAGAATTAGTTGCACAATTCTTTAAATCCAGGGCCATCTTGTTATATGCAGTTGTTCAAACATATAACAATTTGAATCTCAATTTTTAAAAGATTCTAGTGAAGCAATAGGAGATATTTGGTGTTCTAACAGTGACTTTTATTTAGCTGTTCTCTTTTACAGGTCGTTTGTATGCTATGCAGACAGGTATGAAGATTGACAGTAAAAACCCAGAGTGTCGCAAATTTTTATGCAAGCTCATGGATCAACTTGAAGCTGTATGTATATCTGTTTCTGTAGTGTTAACTGTTTATAACTATTTCCTTCACTGTTGAATGTGAAGGGAATAGATGTGTATCTGTCTCTAAGTAGGGATGGAATTGTTATATGCTTGCTACAAAGAGCCACTTCCCTCCTTATGCTTTTCCTTGATGAGATGTAACTTCAGGTAGATAAAGTAAAAGCTGAGTGTGGATTGCCATGTGTCAGAAGTGTGAACATGCAACAAGTGGCAGTTTGTTTTTGTTTACTTTTGTGCCACAATAAAATTATTTTGCACCTTCACAGTGTTGAGTTTCTTGCGTAAATTGTGGTAATGATGCAAATTAAATCCTATCAGTTACAGGTTGTAACATAAAGAGAAACAAATCAAAGGGGGGGGTCAATACTTCTGCAAGGCACTGAATTTGATTGTTAGGAACTTCAAATAGCTCCTGTTTTACTACATTCTGGCTCAGATTATCCTTCAAATTACTGTTGCAAGGCTTGGTACTGAATCTTTACCTGGAAGAAAGTTATATTTAAATCAGTAGAAGTTACTTAAGCATAACTATATAGTTATGATGCAGGCTTGTCTGTTTCCTCTTCATCTTTTCTCCATTTCTGCCTTTAATCATGATTTCTAAATTAGACCAACCACGATCAGTTCAAACATGCAAACTATGCTTTGAACATCTAATTCAAATTATGGTTTATGGTTTGGTTGTAACTATTCTTTGTCTATTTTTAGACTTCACAAGAAGCTATTGTTAGAGGAAAATCAGAAATGGAGGAGAGAATTATTATACAACAAGAAAGAGAAAGAAATAGAAAGCAAGATAAATTTGTGATCCATAATTTTGAAGACAGGAAAGTTATCTAAACTGAGCTTCTGTGGGCTGCAACTTTCATCAGTGTTGTAGATGTCTGAACTCTAAATTTTGTTTAGCATACTCCTCAGAAAATAGACTCATCCCCATGTTTTATTTTCAATCATTTGGCAACATAGGAAATACAAAGGTAGTCTAATATCCTTGGTCTTGTTTTGTATGGATAACCAAGGTTTCCCTAAATGTTAACAGTAAGTCTATTCAGGTGCCTAAATTCACCTGTTGTAACTGTAACAGCATTATTTACTTTGCTGATTTTATTAGGAAACCTGAGGCTCCTTTTACTCTGTAGCATCTTTGAAAAGAGGTCTTTGAATTGCAATACACTGCTTGACTAAGCATTCCGGTAAATCTTCAGGTCATTGGAGCACTTAGGTTGCAGCAGGGACTCTCATTTCATTAGTTCTTTATTTATATAACACGCTGCAAGCTGCTTCGCAGGAGGAAACTATATGGTCCTTTTGAGCTGCACTCGCCGTGAAACGTGTCATGAATTAGATGGTGTTGAATTTTTATACAAAGTTTTCTTTAGGGTGGGAAAAGAAGACAAAGTGTCATAAAGCTATTAGAAATCTGAACAGTGGTGATTGAGCTACAATTCTGGCAGTGTACTATAAATGTTTGACAATTCTGATTATTTTTGCCTCATTTTTAAAGGAAAGCTCCTAGTACTCATTATTATGGAATGAAGAATTTTTTTAAAGTTTTTTTTTAAAGAAACAGAGTAAATGTTGATGAATAGAACTTTGTTGTGATACGGTACCAGTCCTTCAAAAACATTGCCTGCTATGTTGCATGTGCTCCTTTCCGAACTTTAACCAGCATGTACAGTTGCTGATCAAACATGATCTCCAGCAGTACCTTTTATTTATTTCAGCAGGAGTATTGTAGAAACTTATATGCATGTTTGTTAAATGGTCAGGAAACTTCTCCCAGAAGAAATTTGGAATGAGTGCATGTTAGACCTACTACATCGTTTCTGCTGAGAAATGCTGAGTGTTGTGCCCAGGACTGGGGTGTTCTTGTATGGTCCCTCAACAGTTATGTCCAGGCATATCAAATGTGATATGTAGATTTGTCCCAGACAGAATTGTTTGCATACTGAAAATAGCCAAATGGAATTTTTAGTTTGCCTTAATTGTCAGTAGTGAGAAGTCCCAATTAAGCAGATTTTCACAGTATTGCTCTATTTACACCCTCCATTCACATGGTATGGGAAGTACAGGGTGCATATAAACAATAGTCTGGCTAAAATGTACTGAAAAGAAAGGAGCGTATTGGTCAGTATTAGTTTATTCTCCCAATCTAAAGACTGGTAATAACTGATTTGAATCTGGGAGGTCCTGTGCTTGTGACTCTCTAGGGAGCTTCAAGCTATATATTTGGGAGCCAGATATCTAGAATATGTTGTTGCAATTTAATTTCTATAGGCTAGTAAATACATATTTTTTTTATTTTCAGATGAAGAAGCAGTTGGGTGATAACGAAGCTATTACTCAGGAAATAGTTGGCTGTGCCCATGTGGAGAATTATGCCCTGAAAATGTTTCTTTATGCAGATAACGAAGATCGAGCTGGGCAGTTTCACAAGTAAGTGGCAAAATTTGAATGTAATATGTGCTGCAACTCACTGAAGCAAGGGAGATTTTCAGCCTGTCTTCATGCACTCACGTGATGCAGAGGGTCTGAAATATGACTTTGGCAAGCTAATATAGTGAACATTTATAACCACAAGGGTGCAGTAAGGAGACATAAGTCTCTGGGGCTTTTATTTTCTTTATGTATTTTATGGATACAAAATAACTCCTTTTTTACATCCCATTATTTACAGATGGTGCATGTGTTTTTGTTTGTTAATATTTCAAGAAAGCATTTTTTCCCTTTCCAGAAATATGATAAAGTCTTTTTATACTGCAAGTCTTCTAATAGATGTCCTGACTGTGTTTGGAGAACTATCAGATGAGGTAGGTTAACCAGTTAAATAGTGCATATCATTAATCATGTGAAACATAGAAATTGATTTTTATTCCTAATTGTACTAGTTCTAACTAAATAATATTAAAAACAATGGTACTTTAGTTAGCTGTGACTTTTTCTATTAATATCAACTGGGTTTGGTCACAAGTCAATTTTAGCTGGATTACAACATTTCTCTATTAGAACTTCTTCTAGGATAGGATCAAGCGCTACTTCAGGTCTGCTTTCAGCATGCCAGTAACATTTTTGACAGCAGACCATCTGATTACACAACTTTTGAAAGTTGTCTGAGGACCTGCACTTTACTTAATGTCTAAGAAGCTTCTGTTTGAGAAACAGAAGCCCTGAAGTCCCATTGGCTGAGCATAACTTCTTGTGTAGTTGTTTGGATCCTGAGATAATACTTTTTTCACAGAATAGAACACAAATGTGTTAGTTTTGAATAGTTCTGATTGGCAGCAGAAGCTAATATCCGTGAAAGCAGCTCATTCAGTTGGTTTGAGGTAAGGGAAAAGTAATCCTGTATTATGCAGACTTCTCGGAATGATGCATTTTATGTTTAAAATGCGGTGAAGTTTATACAGTGAAGACACTGAATGAAATGAACCAAGATGACCATTTCAGTTGCTTCCAATTCCATAGTAATGCAGTTATTTTGCATTTTCAGTGTATGTTAAGGAAATGTTATTGAGTGGGTGGATCCAGAATCCAGAGTTTTATGCAAACTGTAACTGTTGTTCACTAAATCAAGAACTCCATTCATACTGACTTTGGCTTTTGAAAGACACCAAAAATCATCTTCCTTTTATGGTATAGTTTTGAATTGCTTATTAAAGATACACCCCCATGCATGTTTAGGCAGACTGTCTAAGCATGCGTAGGATTTTACCCTAAGATAGTTACCTGCCTGTGATATTTGTCTTGTATGCGCTCTGAGCATTTCAAAAGAACTTATACTCTGTAAAAGTTTTAAACTGGTATAAAATTTTCATTTTGGCATTAGATCGATTGTATATGGCTCCTTAATATGCACTGAAAAAAGCAAACCAGCTGTGTCTTTAGATAATACTAAACAACTAAAATTGTCATTTTGATTCATTTCATTCAGTTACAGTAGTTGATGTGAAGAATGGTTAATAATTTTACTGGTATTTACTTACCTGCACAAACCTGTAAACTGTTGAAATTTCCTTTTCAGTAAAAAGTAATACAAAGAAGAATTGTACTGGAAATGCAAGTAGAATAGGTCTCTTGAGGCCATTGAGCCACAGAGCAATACATCTTACTCATTTTCCTGCAAGGGGAAGATGCAGATATAATACAGAATCATGGTTAGGGATCAGGACTAAGCCATAGAATGAGTTTTCTATCATCTAATTCAGACTAGTGAGGCAAGCATATTATAACAAACCAGGAATGTGATGATGGAGAAATTTATATGTTAGAAGAGTGGAACAGAACAGAGACAGTATGTGATCTTGCAGCCTCATTCCACATAATGTCTGCACTGAGAAAAAGTGGTCATTAGGCTATTGGGAAAGGAGAGTGAGTTACTATTTTTGTACAGCCAGTTCTGCTTCTCCAGTTAAAAATAAAACATTACTAGTTGCTGTCAGAAAAAAGTAGAACTGTGAACCTTTATTCCTAGTATACACAGAGAAGAAATGTAATGTGCATATTATGAAAATAAAAAATAACATGACATAGACACAAACAGAAGTTAAGCTTGTAACACTTAGAATTATGAAATAAATTGGCTCATTGCATAACTGTTGGCTGCCATCAGGACTATTTTCCAGAAAATCCCATTTGAGGCTCAAAGCAACTCTAAGAAACTTGTTGGGACTAATATATGTTCTTTGTGAAGTCTTGGTTTCTTGGGTACATTATGTGATAGGCTATAGCCATCTTGTACAAAGTAGCAATTTAGGTGTTGAAAGGGCCCAAAGATCCAAGAAAAACATGGTAGATTTAATATGCTCATGTTAAAAATGGCAAATGTGTTGGAACATGCCTCATGAACTGTTCTTAACAGAACTTTTTTAAGCTGCATGGTGCTTTTTCTGGAAGATCCCAGTGATTGCAAAGGAGGGCTTGGCGGCCTACCTGCAACTTGTTCTTATTAAGTGACCATCCCTACTTTTAAATAACTAGGGTAAATATAATTTTAAGCAAGGCACATTTCTTTTAATTTAAATGAAGACTCTTTATTTTGGCTGAACAGGATTAGAGTTAAGTAGTCTAATGAAAAGGAAAAGGGAAAGTATCATAAAAGCTTCTTTACAATAAAAATCTTTTCCAACTTGAAAGTTAAGTTCTTTTGCTTACACGTGTCATGCAGGAGGTTTAGTCTGGAACGTGCTGGAGCAGATAAATTCTAAACAGGATGTTCCATTTACTGGCATCTTCCCTTTGGAAAATAAAATTGAAGAAATAATTCAAAATGACCAAAATTAGTGCCTTGGATGGAAAAGAATGCAAGAAATGTTGAAACCCTTGTACAGAAATAACTAAATTCATAAACTTCATGAAGATAAATGTCCAAGCTAGTCAAAGGGTGTTCTGGAATGCCATAAAATTAGTGGAACTTAAGTTAAAGCAATGCTCATCCCAGAGGCAGGATATAGAACTTGCTGTGATTTATGAAAAGGGGCTAGAGCTCTAATACTGAATAGCACATTTTCAGTGATTGGAATGCAAAAGTGGGAAACAAAACATAATCAAATTCTTGTGGGAGAATTTAGCCGAGGGATAAGAAATGAAGCAGGAGAACAACTCATAGAATTTTATGAAGCCAACAGTCTGTTTATAGCAAATAAATCCTTCAAGCAACTGACAAGATAATTGTACACATGGACAGCACCAAAAATCAAGTAGATTATGTAATTGGAAGAAGAAGATGGAGAAGCTGTATTCTAGCTGCCAAAACTTGTCCAGGAATAGATTGCAGTAGTGACCATGAAATCTTAACTGTCAAAAATCAGAGTCAAGCAGAGTCAAAAAAACCTGTTAGCACAACCATAGTTTCAAAATAAAATTTGAACATTCCTGAGTAATGTCATAATTTGTATTTCTGAACTAAATTGACCATGAGCCAGAAGAACTGTGGACCTAAACCAGAGACATTATTGGGTAAAAGACAATTCCTGCAGCAAGAAAAAAGAAGAATCCTAGATGGGTAACAGAAGAAACACTTAGAGTTACTAAGGCCATACAAAAAGCAAAAGGTGACAGAAATAGGGTCAGAATCTCAGGTGCAGTTTTTCAGCAGTTTATCATGTAGAGACAAAAATAATTATTACAATGACCAGTGCTGCAAAGAAATAGAACAATAGAAGAGGAAAAACGGGAGACCTGTTGCAGAAGATTCACGAAATCAAAGGGAAATTCAGACCTAGATTAGGAATGCTGAAAGACCAACAGGAAAACATACTATCTGACCAGAAGAAATTAAAGAGAAAGGTGGAAAGAATATATAGAAGAGATGAAAAGATCACAGATTCCTTCAAAGAGAACCTGCAATATCTGCTATAAAAACACTTTAAGGAATAAAGCACCTAGGGTAGATAGGATATCAATAGAACTATTCTAAGCTTCAGAGACTGCATCCATCCTAATCCCAACAAGAATATTCCAACAAACATGGAAAACAAAACAGTGACCTGCAGCCTGGAAACATACCATATACATTCCAAACACAAGAAAGATGCAAAAGAATGCAGCAACCTTTGGACCATTGCACTAATTTCCTGTGCCAAGCAAGGTGATGCTCAAAATCTTGCGACAAGAAAATTACATGGAGTGAAAAATGCCTGACATTTAAGCTGGATTCTGAATAGGAAGCAGCACTAGAGAGGATATCAAAAGTAAACATCACAGAAGCACACTAAAAAAATTCTGAAAAAATAGACTACACCAAAGCCTTTGACTGCATGGATCGCAAGAAGCTATGGATGGGCCTGAAAGAAATGGGTGTGCCTCTGGACTTTGTGGCCCCAGTGCGTAAGCTGAATCATGAACAAGAAGCTACTATTCAGGGCAGAATATGGAGACATAGAATGGTTCTTCATTGTGGTCTCTGCACATCACACATACGGGCTTGTGCACCAGGACAAGGCCTGGACCACAAAAAACTTAAATAGGTGAGCATCCTGGATTAGGTAGGAGCTCTTCCCTTTCTGGTTCCCATGTATATAGGAGAGGAGTTCCCACCCACTCTCTCAGTTTCAACTGCCATAGCATCGACTGGGAATCTCTTCATTCTTTCATTACCACTAAGTACCTTGTTTCATGCTCTTTTGCTCTGGTTTCCCATAGAAAGAAGACTGAGACTTGGGATATCAACAATGAAGGAACTAGAAAAATGCATTAAATATAAGGTCATTTCATGGCCACGGCCAATATAATCCACGTTATTGTTTTCCCAAATACTGTGTGGATGTGAGAGCTGAACACGTTCAAAACATGCTAGAGGAGAGCTTTGCAAATATTCTGGACTGACAGAAAGAAGAACAAATGGATGAAATCAAGTCAGAGCTTTTACTAGAAGCAAATAGAACAAAAGTGGGGCTATCATACCTTGGGCACAAGTTGAAAAGGCAAAATGCCCTGGAGATATAACAGAAGGGAAAAAAAGGAAGATCAAATATGAGATGGATTGACACCATAAAGGAAGCTGCAGTCTTGAATTTACAAGAGCTGAGCAGGGTTGTCATGGATAGGACATTTTGGATTTATAGGGTAACCAATAGGACATTTTGAGATGACTTAACATCACAGAAATACATATATTTAAACTATCATGGCAAAACCCATACCCAGAAAATGAAATGGTGAGCATAACTACATGATATTAATTTCCTGCTAGAGAAAGGAATGGTGTTAGAATGCTGCTACTTCACATCTTTCCAATCATTTATGTTTTATGCTTCATAGCTTATTTTGCTGAGTTATAAAATATGTATAGATATACAAATCTTTTCAACCAGTGCCTTTCTGTGCCCAGAGAAATTAGAACTGTGAGATTCAACGTTGTGCCTCCTCTTCCCGTCAACCACAAATTTTCCAAGGAACAGATGACCCAGTATTTCTAAGAACTGGATTCTGGTTCTGTTATTGTGGTGCTTTCCTGTTAACATCTAGGAAAAACCAGCTTCTAAATAGTACAAATTTTGGAAAGCTGTCAAGGGTCTATATTGTTAGTTGCTACAAATGTCAGAGCACAGACGGACAAGAAAGAGAAACTTCGCAAATGTAATTTGTTCAGTGGCTATTGAATTTTAGATGTGCATTTCAGTTCTAAAGTGCTGGAAAAGAAACCTAAATTAGCTAGCTGGTTCTATACTTTGAAATCTCAGAGTTATATCAAAATTAATTCACCATCTCAGTTATTTCAAAAGTAGCATAAATATGGTGCCTTCAAATCCAGGGATTAATACCCAGTTAGTTATTAAACATTTTTTAGACTAAAGCAGCAAAATAGCCTTGTGTGGTTAACAGCTTTCTTAGCAACAGGATTTTTTTTCAGCATATATATGTTATTAAGCTACCAGGCAGTAGTTTAGGCTTCCTGGTTTTATAAAAATGTGTTTTTAATGTTCTGCTTTCCTGGTAAGTAATTGTCTGTAAAACAAAATTTATTGCCAATATATGCTGGGTATCAGTGCTTTACAACTTGTCACGTCTGGGTTTTTTATTGCCTGTAAATTGTGTTCATAAATACAGCAGGTGCTGCTGTTTCCTTAGATGAGAAATAGAATTTGGGTGCAATCCAGGACAAGTTAGTTGCATTGACATCCCACTGAGAGCACTGAAATGGAGATTAGCCATTTGGCTGAATCTAAATAAGTGATACAACACTAAGAACATTTCTCTGAGCTACAATAGAAGCAGATGAAATCCAAAAAGTTATACATAGTAAAATCTAAGATACTGCCTCACATGTTATTTCAAAATAAGTTTATAAGTTTATTTTTGTGAAGTCTATTGTTTTTCATTTGTTCTCCAACATATTAATGATGTGCTATGAACAAAGTGTAATTCAGCTGTGTTTTTAACACATGCAAACTGATATGCATTGTATCTTTGGGCATCACATATTTCTTCGTCTGCACCTTCACTAATTGACACTTGTGCCTTGCATAGAGTAAGTCTATTGAAAATGGTGACCTGGTTTCCACATAATGCTAATTCATGGCTGATTTAACTGGTGTTATGCTGCCCTACCCAGGAATTATTTTTTCAACTTCTGGGTTGCTACCATGCTCCTTTGCCCATACCCTCCCTTTGCAACACAAAGGTAGAGATGCTGGGGTTGTAGAATTGGGAAGTAGAGTTGTGGGGTGAGGGAGCATGTGTGACCACCTCTGCAACCTAGAAAAACAGCCCACAAAGAACCCATACCACTGGATTCACACATAATGACAATCCTTGGTTTAAACTACCCAAAAGACCAGTGAGTTATGGTTGGTCAAATAACCCTTGATTAACTACAATGCATGCAGCCACTATTTTGAATATGTAACTTTTAATCATTATAATCCACCAATGTACACGGTCCAACAACTAATCATACATTTTCTTTCTGGGTAGTTTGTGATTAACAAACAATGGTTTGTTAGTGTAATTGGATTCACATATTGTCACCCCAGAATTCTTCAATCCCAACTTAAAAACCATCACCTGGTTCACACACAACAATAGCCAGTGATGGGTTGCACATGGGCTGAATCATAGATTGTTGTTGCCTCATGAATTATTATTACATGCAAATCCTGTACTATGGTTTAATTATGGGTTCTTAAACAGAAACAACACAGAACTCACAACTTAATGACAGAGCATGGATTCTTTTTCTAGATTATTCATGGTTAACAGTCAGTGGTTAAACCATAGCACAGGGTCCTGTCATTGGCCCAAACCTTCCTTTCTCAGCCAAGACTCCTGCAAACCAGACAGACAGGCATTTTACAATGCAGGTCTTTATTGGCACGTCACAGATAACAGGGCAGCTCAACTCTAGCAGCCTTCTAACAAGCTCAATGACAACCTCTGCTCATATAAAGAGTAAATGAATGTTGAACCCAAGCTGGAAATCTCCCCCCAATCTTCCCCTTTCACGCTGCAGGCTCTACCCTTAGGGTAGTTCTCGCACAGGAGCACTAGTTAGTGAGACCTACACAAACACTCTAAGTGGGTAACTTATCTCTCCTAGTGCCTCATCACAGAGTCAGGGACTGGGCAAAGCAACAACTCTCCCTCCTGAGTCTTCTTCTGTCTCATTTAAAACATGTCTGCTCTCCTGGTTAGCCTGGGAATCAGTGGGCAACAATTCTGATGGGCCTTCAAAGGCTTCTACCTCCCTTTGACCATTCCACCCTCCCTTCATCTCTTTCACGGTGTCCTCCCTTCAGAATCCAGTAACACAGGCCCTGGGAAGTCAGCAAAGAATGAGTCCCTAGCTCGCTCACTGCATGTAGTGGCAACACACAATTCGACAACACCCTATGATTCAGTGATAACCTATACTTAATCCATACTCTGAGTTGTCATTATGTGCAGATCAGTGTGAAACTGAATGTATATTTCATCCTTACCTTCAGATACAACATTCTATCTGAATACCGGTCATTTGGCATCTTGATTCCAACACTTACTTGAAATTAAATTCTGTTAAAATCAGAAATTAAGGGAACTACTTTTATTTGATTCATATTTAATGTGGGAAATAATTCTACTTTTCCATATGATAGATTTTTAAATTTTTCTTTTCAGTGTACTTATTTCCAAAATTTCTGAGAATATGTGTAAGTTAATTTTCATACCACACACCATGTTTATGCAGCCTTAAGGTATCATACAAAATAAATGGGACAACAATTTCTATCTTCAGAAGTAAGAAAGGGATAGATATTTTTGCAAACTATTTGTTGCTTTGTATTTGTTCTTTTTTGGTCACTTTTTAATGTTTGCTGTGCTACATTTTTGTGTGGAATTTTTCAGGGTGCCTTTGGCACTGTTTAGTGGGAAATTGGGATATAAATATTGTAAAGAGAATACAATTTGTCTGTAGAAATACGGATTGTTCTTTGTTGATGGACGGAGTATAAAGTTTTAAATAAATAAACGAGCAAAAAGTGTTGTGGTGAGTATAGCCAAGATGTTAGTAGTATAAATACTTATTTTGGACTATAATTAAATACTTTAATTCATTTATTTTCTAGAATGTTCAGCACAGAAAATATGCCAGATGGAAGGCAGCATATATTCATAATTGTCTGAAGAATGGAGAGACTCCACAGCCTGGACCTATTGGCATGGAAGGGGAATGTGCGTAACCTTTTTATTACTTCAGATATTGCTTACAGACTAAATTCACTGAGCTAAATCTAGAGTTCTCATCGTCAGGATTCTACTTATGGAACACCTCATGCTAAAAGGAGGACAGAAAGGCATTTTCACTGATTTCCTTTCCTCTTGTATCCTATGAAAAGCTGCTCCAGAAGTGACCTGCTAGAGCAGTATGAGAAGTGGTATTCTGCAGGCTGCGGGAGAAGGGGAAAATCAGCAAAAATCACCTCTTCCTTTGGAAAAAGACTTTTAAATCTCACTTCCTTCCACAAGCACTCTAGATCTAATATACTAAATTTAATACATCATGGACACATGTTTCTTTGAAAGGGCATCAACATTACTGTCTTTCCAATGTGAATCGAGTTTTGTAGAAGACTTCTGCTTTTTATTTTTAACTCTCCCCTTCAGTCTGCACTTTGTTCTCTTAGAATAAACTACATTGGATGAAATAACAGTGGACCTCAGCAAGAAGTCTGTCATCCAATGGATTTTTTCTACCTTTTCTTCTTCTCAAATGTTTACAACAGTTTGGCTCCTGGAATGAATACATTTTCACCTAGTCCTTGAGTCAGCATATATAATTCTTTGATTAGCTTCAAAAATGTGATCCTGTTTGTGCACATGCATATTAATTTATACCCTTAAGCCCCCATGTTTGTGGTAGAATTTAGAGAAATGGATCAGACAGATGAACTGTAGCTTCAGGGTATATTTCTTTTTGGCACTTTACTATAGTATGCTATGTTTATCTATAGAATAAAATTTAGTAAAATACCTCCTAAAGAATGTTGCATACAATATAACTCTTAAGAACATAGAACCCACAACTTTTAGGGTCTTACAGTGCCAAAGTTCATATGGAAATATATCTGTCTTCTAAAATACCCAAAGATTTTCTCATAATCCTTGCTTTGTGTGTTTGGGAAAGAAAAGCAGCATTGTTTTAAGTGTACTAAAGGCTTCCCCCATTCCTTTCTGCTTGCTCACTTTCTTCCTTCTCTTGTAAATGGAAAAAGTCAGTACTGAAACAGAATGAAACTAACTTTGAATAACTTGAGAAAACACCATGTTTCTTAAAAGTGCTGTTCGCCCTGGTTTCATGAAAAAATGTACTGTAAATATTGGATTTTTTTTTTAAAAGCTATGATAGCCATTTTATTCTGTGAAATCTATTGAAACAATAATGGAGAACTACATGGGTGTCTGCAGTGTGAAAAAGTTATCCCTGAATGGCACAACCGTTGGGTCCAAGGGAAAGAGCAGTTTTTGCCAGTGATAGAACCAGGGCACAGTTAGAACAAACCTTAGACTTTGATGGTTTACTGAAGCTGCTCTGCAAATATAACATCTTGTTTGCTTGAAGTATATCTTCAGTTACTATAACTGCACTGGCACTGTCCTTTTATGGTAAAAGGTCAGAAAGCATTTTTGATGCAGCTCATGATTATTAGTCCCCAGTACTTTGGTGTTGTCTATCATAAAAATTTGTCTTGCATCCTTGTATTTGCAGTTGCACAAATAATTTGCCAGGATGCTTCTTTCATGTAACTTTACAGTGATTTTGTGAAGTAAATTTGGCTGGAAAAGACTGATTTTCAGAAGGTGATTTTATGCTTTAAAGTCTGAAATACTTTTCTCTGCAGTTTAGTAAAAATAAGCATGCCTCTGTTCTCTACTTACAAGATTATGAAAATGAAGAAGTTGGTTCTCCTGCTGCAACTAACCAAGGGTCAGAGCCATCATCTTCTGCTTTGCCTCCAAGCAATTATACGGGCATCCATATCCCACCTGGTGCTCATGCCCCAGCTAACACTCCTGCTGAAGTGCCCCATAGCACAGGTATGGTATTTATATAAAGTGATCAGCATATGTTCCATTTGGTTCATTTACAAATGTACGATAATTTAAAGATTGAATAGAACATTGGCAGCATTTGCTCAGACTCATGGAAATTCATATGCTACCAATGAATTCTGCTCTCAGTATCAGATGATAGTACAAGATAGATGACATTACACTGTACATACCTTTGTAATCATTGTGTTACAGAGTTGGCATTATCCTTAAATTCTCTTCAGTTAAGCTTTCTGTTAGTATCTGTCTATACAATAATTATTTACTCACTTGTCTGTTAACCCCTTAGAACCTCTTAACACCAATTTAAACCATTTAAACTATCACCAATTTAAACTTAACTTTCCAAGGAGAAGTGCCAGCACTGTCAGAGGCTAACAATGCAGGTTTGCTGTGCTGTACTATCACTAGAACCATATGGGTTGGATCCAAAATTCTGTGCAAATATTTCTCCACATATATTATTTCTTAATTAGAAGTTCCCAAGCAGCATGAGTAGTCTCTCATAGAACATGAAGCTTTCTTATTTAAAGATGAAAAAGTAAAAAATCCCACTAGGCATGCCCAAGCCTTCAGGCATATGTAAAGTAACTATTTGAGTCTTGGCCTGAATGTACTATTTTTCATTTTCTTTTATACATATGAAAAGAAAGATTTGGCAATAAAGATGTAGGCTTTCTTGGAGAAAATGTAATTGGAAGATTTATGCTAGCCAAAAGTGAGGTTAAATTAAACTCTGGTAAGTCTGAAAAAATAAAATAACATAGCTTTCACAAGTTTAAACAAATTTAGAGATGGAAAATATGAAACACCCATAAATAAGCACACTGCAATTCTATGTACACACATTTGGAGTAAGCACTGTTGAACAGTGGGATTTTCTTCCAAGTAAATGTTCTTAGGATCACACCATTAGCCTTAAAAGTAGGTTGGAAGATCTTTTGTGGTGACTGTTACTATTTAAAATATTGACATAGACTCTAACAAAGCAAAGAGTCTAATTATTTCCATCTAGTCTTCTTTCAGTGCAGTGAAATGGTCAGAATTGGAGCAAAAGAAGGCTGCTCATATGTTCCTTTGCTCTTATTACTCTAATATTGTCCTCCATAGAGTGTGATATACAATTATTTGTTTTTATGTCTCATCGTGACATCAGTCTTTGCAAATTTGTGTAAAACCAATATTGAAATTGCTTGAAAGTCTTGTAGCTGGATACCAAATATTGAATAAGGGACACTATACAAATACTACATTCTTCACTAAATTAATTGTATTAAAGTTCTCTAAAGTTGTTCTGAATCTTTATATATTTTCTTCCATTACAGTTAAGGTACATTCTCAAGAAGTTAAAGACACTGTTCCTGTTCGCATTTAATGGCACACTACTTACTTAGCGTGCTTCAGCATACAGTGGTACCTCGGCTCACAAACGCCTTGGCTCACAAACATATCGGGTCCTGAACAAAAATTACTGAAAAATTTTTACTTGGGTCGCGAACACCACTTTGGGAGGTGACCAAGATTGCAGCCATCTCCCCCCCCCGGGGGGGGGGCAGCAAAGCAGAGCCGCGGGGGAGATTGCCGAGATTCCGCTTGTCATTCGTGCAGCCGCGCACCTCTGATCACAGATCGTAGTTGCTTTTGTGCAGGGAAGGCGTTCATGATCAGAGGCGCGCAGCTGCAAGAAAGACGGGATCAGCAAAGCAGAGCCGCGGGGGAGATGGCTGAGATTCCGCCTGTCTTTCCTGCAGCAACGTGCCTCTGATCAGGCCCACCTTTCCTGCACGAACGGAACTGCGATCGAGGCCATCTCCCCACCCCCAGCGCACCGTTTGTGCCCATCTCTCCCTCCCCTAGTGTGCCCGCAATCCTGCCCGGCTCTCCCCCCCCCCACCCCCCAGCGCGCCGGGATGACGGGCGCCTGCAGGGATCACAGGCACGTGCATGGATGACAGGCGCGATCTTGGTTGTGCTGGGGGGGTGGGGAGATGGCCGCACTTGTGCTTGGGGTGGGGGGGGGGTAGATAGCTGCGATCTTTGTTGTTGTCACTTTGTTTCACATTTTTCTGATTTAAAAAATGGTTACAGAATGGATTAACCTTATTTACATTGAACCTTATGGGGAAATTTAACTTGGCTCACAACCAATTTGGGTCACGACCAGAGTCCTGGAACGGATTAAGTTCGTGAGCCAAGGTACCACTGTATTTTCCATTTTTTTCCATTTATCCTCTCAGCCTGGATTTGCATATGATTTACTACATTCGCACAATTTCTGTTGTACCAGTGGGACCCACCACTGATGCAACAAGAAGCTGATGCTCCCTAAAAAAGCTACAGAAACAAGCAGAAATGCTAGTTTCCAGAATGGAAGAGATCAGGCTGTCTCCCTGCTGCAAACTTAGTTGATCTGCCCTGTTCTGGAAATAAGCCTTTCTTTCTTTCTTTCTTTCTTTCTTGCTTGCTTGCTTGCTTGCTTGCTTGCTTGCTCGCTCGCTCGCTCGCTCGCTCGCTCGCGCTCTCTGTAAACATTTCTATGCCGCCCCTTGCTGAGGCCTAGGGGCGGCTTACAACATCAAGCGGCGTACAACATTTATGCTCATTTCTGTTTGCTTTACAGGGTCCCTGTAAAGTATGGGCAGAATGCATGCAAGTTTAATTTCTCTGTGTTCCTCACAGGTGGGACAAGCAATACAATTCAACCTGCTCCTCAGAATGTTCCGATAGTAGATCCTTCACTTTATAATGTCCAGCCTGCAGGTAAGGGGTTTTTTCCCCTTTTATGGTACCCCTAGTCTCTGTTTTTGCAGCCACTGGCAAATACAGCTACTGCTTTTGGATAAAAGTTTGATTTATAAATACATTTGATAACCTGAGTGGAGTTAAGTGTGGAGCCATTTTTTTCCAAAAAACAATGTTCATTTTAAACAACTTTTCTTCCTTGTTATACAGATTCCTTTATCTTGACTCTAAATGCATTTTCAGCGTCTTTATCAGGTTCCTAACTGTTTAGCTGAAAGATTCATTATTGGCGGAACTTAACTCTGGTGTTACATTGCAGTAATGAATATAGCCACTATACTAATATTATCCTTGGATGTATAAAGGGTCTGACTTCTTCCAGGCTATACAAGGCACAGCCTTGTCCGTGTCAATATTTTCACTATTTCAGAATTTAGTTCTTTCAAATAATGTAGGTTAAAAGCAACTTCCATGTATACTAAATCTTTAAAAAAATAATTCCAGTTTTCTTTCTCTCATTTACAAATAATTGTAAACCCTTTCCTGAAATGTTACTATATTAGTATCTGAAGTACGCCTGAATAATAATAAGGCCTGTTGCCAACAGTACATGTAATAGAGTAGGTACTGTAAAAATAAGATTAGATTGGTTAATTTAGGCTTCATTCCAAAGAATCAGTTGAATACTGGACTGATGCCTTGGCTGTTTGCTAAAGAATGATTTTTAAGTTGCTTTTGGCATCATCATATGAAAAACAAAATGTCCTTTGCTGTGTTTTTCAAAGGGAGGGAGGTCACCATTGACCAAACCTTAGAAGTAAAATGTGGATTTATACATTCAACAGGTAACGGATGTTGGGTCACCTTTTGCAACTGTAAGCTCTGTAATACTTTAATAAAGTTTAAATTTGCTTTTTAAAAAACCTTCCATATATCCTGAAGTGTCTAGTACTGCCTCATCTTGGAAGTTAAGCCAGTTAGGCCAAGCTGAAATCTGGGTGGCTGACTTAATGTTGCGAACCTCTCAGAAAGCATCAGCTATGGGCAGTATAGAAATGTAATTAGTAATAATAAATCTTATAGATTTGATATCTAATGTGTAGGTTTTTAATATTGTATGCTACCTTGAGTCCCAGTACTAGGAATACGCAGAATATGATGATGATGATCCACCAGAACAATTTGTGTGAGGATTAATGCAGTGATGAAATGGTTATTGTGTGTAGCAGACATACTTGACTTTTGTTAAAATAAGTCAGACTGAAGCATGCTTCATATTTTCTAGAATGTACAAAATACACTAACAAAAATAACCTTGTACTGGATACCTTTCCAAGTTTTAGGTAGAATTAAGCAGTTGGCTGATTCAAAACAAAATTTGGCCAATTGACTCTTCAAATATATTGGGCTGGATCCAAAGTTTCCCTTCCAAAATCCAATGGAACTTCCTTCAACAGAAAGCCCTTCCAGCAAAGGAAGACTACTTGTATTCATGGAAAGAAATCTTTGAATCATTAACTTCATTAGAACAAATAATTATCAACATTTTTGGAACTTACACTAATTACAAAAGTGAATTGGTTAAGAGTTCATTGTATAAGAGTTCAAGTAACTAAAAATTATAAGAAATTAGAACTTTTGCCAGTATTGCTAAGGCTTCTATAAACTTGAATAGTTCTTGTCTTTGAAACACAAAGATAAGCTTGTTGCTAACAGTTTTGTTAAAAAAAAATAAGGCTGCTGCGCTAAATAAACTCAGAAGGAAAACCTCATTGAATACAGTGGGACTTACTTCCAAGTAAACTTGTACAGGATTATGCTGCATAACAAAGCCAACAGCGACCTAAAATCCAAACCAAATTAAGTGTGAGTTTTAAAAAACCATTGCTGTAGGGTAGTCAACAGGCCAATACTTCAAGCATTTCTATTATAACATCATGGAATGTTTGACCATACCCGATTGTGATTGAATTACAAGCTGTCCTGAGACATTCTGTAGGGGACGGAATGGAAAAGCTGTAAATAAATAAATTGAAAATGTTTGTCGGATCAACTTCCAAGGTCAACTTAGTCAAGTTAGGAATGGGAGTGCTTATAAAATTTACATATAAAATCCTGCAACATACTTGAAATAATTTACTGGTTTTTGTGTACATGATATGAAAATCATATTGCAGATACATAAATTAGGAACATGTAATAAATTTTTATTGTATTATGTTTAAAAATAGGACTCTTACTCTCATTAGGAATCTAGAACATAGATAGGAATTGTGCAACAGAGGATAATACTATTGTCCTTGGAGATTTAAGTTTAAATGACCATCTTCCAAAAGCTGTGTAGGACACTTTTTAAGCTGATGGCTAGGATTAGGGGGATATAACTGCTGGATTTCAGCATTTGTAAGATGCATCTTAACATAGTGTTGCTAGTTCAAAGGCCTGGGAACAGGACAAATTATAAATACAACAAAAATTTTAAGTTAATGTGCCCACCCTGGTTTATTTGGATTCTCCAGCCTTGTATGTGACCATTCCAAAAGAAAAGAAAATCTGTTTCTGCAGCAAACCTTCTGAATAACAATTCATAGAATATCTAAGCTTTTCTTGCTCATCAATATGCAGAATATTGCAATAAGCATAATATATTAATGCAGTCACAGATGTGAAATAGTCCATTAATACTTTATTGGCACTGCTTGCCACTCAGCAGGTAGAACGTTTTTTTGCATATTCCATGATGTTACAGCAGTTCAGCCAATGGATAAGGGAGGGGGCATGACAGCAAAAGACCGTTTTTATGGGTTTTATAAAACGTTTTTTCCTGGCACTCACTTTACTATTTCAGACAAGCGTGAACCCAGTATGGTTTATACAAACGTAACACAACCAGATGATATACAGACAGCCCCAGGATTATGAAAATGTTTTATTCCTGAGAAAATAGAAACTCATCTTTAAGTCAAAATTGTATCTAAGTCAGATTGTGTATAATTGGTCCTTCACATTTGCAGGGATTAGGCACACAGGATCCTCATGAAACTGAAAAAAAAACCCAGTAATATCTCTACCCACACACACACCACCACCCAAACTTAACACTGCCTCCTCTTTGCAGCAAGAAAATGTCTGAGATTTCCCTCTCCAGATGGGCAGGGCAGGAAGGCAGCCTTTGGAAGTCTCCTCTCTCCCCTTTCACTTCCTCTCTCTCTATGATGATGCTTTGGAGACCTTCCCTCTCTTCCCTTTTGTGTCTCCTCTCTGATGATGATGATGATTTTCTGCTGTAATATTTTTAAGTTAATAGGCTTTATGGGAGATCATTCATAAGTATAGGTTGTTCATAACATGGACATTTGTAACTCGGGGACTGGCTTGTTACAGCTAAAGCAAACCTTTTAAAGTTAAAGAGGCTCTTATTTCCAAAAGGTATTTTGCTCTCAAGCAGGAATACTGTTAATCATTTTTCTCTCAAAAAAGTTTTCCCCTTCTTTAAACAGAAATGAAAAAGCTAATTCAAATCCTCTGCTTTATGCCATACTATATGTTAAGATATATATTACATTTTATTCTGCTTTGCATCTGGAGAATCAGCCTTCTTGTATAGATTTACTAAAAGTGCATCCATACCTCCTGTTTGCCTTTTTTTAAAAATATAAGTGAAAAGATTTCACCGTTCGTAATAATTCACTGTTGCATTAATAATACCAAGGACATGTTTGGCTATCTTTCTCCTGACAAGAAAAAGAAAATGTGACAGTCTATGCATCTTTCATTGGGGATTGGGTGTATCTCGTAACAAGGGATGTTCCCGTATTTAGACAAATGATACGGAGGCAGCATGAATGGGCTTAGTTGTGTTCCATGCTGGAGTTGGGGGAAAGGAAATGTAAGGTTAACGCATGAGGCATTGTCCTTGTTGTTGTGCAGATTGTAACATGATTACCCTTAACTGACTGGATTTTTTTAAAAGCTTTCCTTAGTGACTTCAGATAAAGGGCAAATCTCTCTCAAAGTATTGGCTTACCCATAAAGCGTATCAGACATCTTTAGCATTCACCACTGATATTGGCAAACCATTCCAAGCGGTTAAGTAAATGTGTGCATACTGTAGTGACCCTGAATCTTAGTCATCTATCTTTATTTTCACAGGGGAAATTCGTTTGACTGCCGAAGACTTTGCCAAGGCCCAGAAATATTGCAAATATGCTGGCAGTGCTCTGCAATACGAAGATGTGAGCACTGCTGTTCAGAATTTACAGAAAGCCCTCAAGTTACTGACTACAGGCAGTGAATGACGCCTTTGTCCTCCAGATTCATGACTTATGCCTAAAGAACTAACAGTCCATTTCTCCTACCTTCAACCTGTCAGGAAACACACAGTTGCACAAAAGCTTTTGATTTCAGACTGGAAAACAAAATCTGTGTCTCTGTACTGATTTTTTTCAATAGCCTTGTCTGGAGCTATGGCCAGCAGCTTCATTCTTAACAGGAGCATGAACCATCTAAGGTTTGAATTCAAGACACCAGTTCTAAACAGTTCTAGTCTAGTACTGCAGAATGCCCCAGCAGTTGCTCTGATGTGAGTGGGGGATGGCAATTATCTGTTTAAATGTGTAATTGGAATTAGTCACAATACCAAATAAAACTGTTGGAAACACATCATGGTTTTAAAGGTAATGTTCAGATAATCTGGAAACAAGCAGTATAACGTATGTTAACGTTACAGCAAAGGGAGTTTACTTAGGAACTGTTAAAATAAGCTAGAAAAGTAGGCAGGTTTCAAGTTATACTTCAGGAAAAAAAACATAGTTGGTTCCTGATTCCAGCACTTCCAGAAGCTGTATGATCTGTTGTGGTTTTGTTTTGTTTTTTCCCTTCTCTGTGTGGTTTTATTTCATTTTTTAGGGAAAAGAAAAATACATCTGATGTCTAAGCCCAGCTCCAGACATCCTGAGCTTTGAGAGTATTTCCATTTAGTTCTAAAACTTAGAGACTGTTTCTAATGTAATATATGGACTATCATGTTGAGCAGTTTGTGGGGAGGGGTATTTTTATTTGTATCTATTGCCAAATAGTAAGATTACTACATGAATTTAAAATTTTCAAACTAATACTGGATTGTAGACTCCATTAAAATGTATCGGACCCTTCACATGTGTTGTTGAATTATTTATCTAATCCTGTTTTAACAGTGAATAAAAATGTTCAGTACTCACTGTAATTTTGTGATGAACTAATTGTTTGTATGGTACCTCAAATCCTAATAGAAAGAAAATGGCTTCATTTCTCACTGGCCCCAAGCAGGATGGTCAATGGTCAGGAATAATGAAAGTTGTTTCTAGAAAACTACAAAATGCCCAACCCTGACCTAATGTATCACAAGCAGTTGTAAAAACCCATTTCCCTTCAAGAAATATTACCAGTTGTGTTTGCAGTGGCTGCTACTGTAAAAATGAAGATTGGTTGTTATCCTTGGCTAACACATGCTGTTCTTTCACTATGTTTCATTTGCCTGAATTGTGTGTCATTCAGAGGACTCACTTTGATACTCTTCTGTTCTCTCCATGAGTACAGCTATCAATTTGTTCAGTTTAGCAAAGTTAGCAAAGTTCTGTTTTGCATCCAGATAAATCCCGGAAAGCTTGCAAAATTAGAAAATAGTTGTGAGGGTTAATGCAATGAGATTTCCAAGCGAGCAAGCTGCCGCCACCACCTCACCGCACACGTGCGCCCATCACTGCCACTGCCTCACCATCCTGTGCCCATGGACACCCTCACCTCACCGGCCCGTGCCTGTCACCGCCGCCTTTCAACTGGCCCCTTGTTGAAAAAGTTTGAGGACCCCTGTTCTAGAGGATTATATTCTATATAATCTTGAACTTTTCATGTAGAATAGGTTTGTTTAAACACTTTTCACCTGAAAGGTGCTGTGTCAGTCATACCCTTCTAGAAATTTCATTTAATACACAGCTAGATCAGTAGCTATATATCCACAGCTATGGATTTTCTTCTGAAATAGCAGAACCTTAAAGATGCTGGTATTTCTATTAGTAAAACCCACTCCTACATTTAGAAAGAAAATAGCAGAACCTCATATTAACTGGTTTTTCACAGTGCAGTTGTACTAACATTCTGGTACCAGGTAAACACATGTAAGATTTTTATTTTTAAAGGCTCTTTATCTCTACTTGTTTTCTGGTGATACAATTAAAAGCTGTTGATGAATTCTAATTCAGAAGTCTCTCCCTCTAATCTCCTTTCACAATGACCAGTTTAAGGTAAGTATCCTGAGAAGCTGAAGTGTTCTGCCACTGTTTTGTTTTAATATTACCATTTTTTTCCTGATTTATATCCTGCCTTTTTCCTACAAAGGGCTCAAGGCAGCTTACATCATTCTCCTCCATCTTATCCCCACAACAACAACCCTGTGAGGTAGGTTAGGCTGAGAGTCTCTGACTGGCCCAAAGTCACCCAGTTGGCTCCATGGCCGAGCGGGGACTCGAACCCAGATTACCTGAGTCCCAGTCCCATGCTCTTAACCACTACACCACACTGGCAACCATTTTGGATGCCAGATTTGTATTTTCCACAGTGACCAGCCTCTTCGCCTGATCTAGGGTGGTATTTGTGGTGGAGCTTGGCACTGGAAGACAAGCATATCACTAACTGTGGGTGATAGTCATACAATAGGGTTATTTTAGGAGATAACAGCTGCGAACTGGATTTGTATTCTATTATGTGGCCTCCTGGTGCTAGTAAGTAGCTAACTCACAAAGAGCATTGGTTGAGCTGCTCATCTTCTGGCACTTCAAGCCATTAAAGCAGATAAGGGAAACTTGTGGCTCTCCAGATACTGGACTCTAACTCCTAGCAGCCGTAGCCAGCAGTGAGCAGGATGAGGGTTGTAGGCCAAAAATTTCAAGAGACACAAGTTGCCCAATCCTGCACTGAAGACCACATTTACTGGCTTAAATCTTTCAGAATTACAGGTTGGTGTCTCTAAGAACCTTTCCCAGCCAAATGTTAGTCATTCTCGTGCAGCTCATGGGTTCGACCACAAAGAGTAAGGCTGAACACGAATTTCACCATTTATGAATTGACACCATTTTCTGTTGCTGCACAGGTGCTGTTTATGGAGAGGTAGCTTCCACCTGGCTGGGAGAATGTCTAAATGGGTGCTGTTGTCCAATGATGAAAAATGCACACCTGTTGATAGGCTGCAACAGAAAACAGCCTGAGCTAATTTCCTTTCCCCACACTCTGTGAGTTATTCTATTTAAACTCAAAAAATGGCTTAAAGAATGTGGTGTGTTTTGTTTTCATATCAAATGTCAAACAACTTTGTTTTCACTTCCTGATAGTTACACTATACTCTTGGCTTAGTGGTATATACCTATAACCAAATGGAGCTATACAGAGAAGTCTACTCTGTAAAGGGATCACTTAGCAAGAATAAAATACGTGTGTTCCAAAAGTTGCAAAGCTTGATTCTGCATCCCTTGGTTGCAATGTTGCCCTATTATTTTATTGTGTTTGATATGCTTTTTAATGTCAGAATTTGTTCTAGTCATTTATATTGATAACTGCTTTGGGTATATTTTTTTTTCCTTTTTCTGAAAAAGCATAGTTACATTTATCAAAATGAATTTTCTTTATTTAGTTTTTATACTGCCCAAGAACCAAGGCTATCTGGGCAGTTAACAAAAGTTAAAAACACAAGTCAGAAAGAGGGAAAAATCAAGTAAGACAATAAAACCACAGCAATTGCAACTGTATCAGCATAGAGCTATAACAAAGGTACAGGATAAATGCAATATTAAAACTCAAAAAGTTAACTATTCAAATACTGGGAAAATATAAAGGTAAAGATGGGAAAGAGAGGTAGAACTGAGTGTTATCCACACATTGATGGTACCTCAGCCCATACCTCCAGATACCTTCCCCCAGCAGTTTCATGTAGATGTTGAGTAGCATAGAAGATAAAATGGAACCCTGTGGCACCCCAAGGCATAACTACCAGGGCAAAGAACAATAAGCCCGGGGCACTACCTTCTGGAATTGGCCAGTCAAGTAGGAATGGAACCCCTGCAATGCATAATTGAATAATTGATATTAATGACAAAAATTATTCAGTTGTGTCGGAGGATTGCACTCAGAGCTACTAATTCCTAAGCTAGGAGTCTCAAAATTTCTGGGTCAGTGTTTGAATTTTTGAGTTTTTGTGAGCACTCTCACAAAATGGCTGCCATGGTAGGCATGACCATTTCCCAGGTATGAGCTTTGAAACACTCTTTTGAACCCAAGCAAGATGAGCTAGAGGGTAGAACACGGCTTTACATCTTGCCAACCTATTTTTTTTAAAAAAAAGGGAAACAGTATTCGTTGGCAAGCAACAAGACACATTGGTGAGCACACTGGCACCACTTCCAAGTTGTCTTATATTCAATTCTTTCTGTTTGGAGTGTCCCAGATATGTGATGCAGCAAGAGAACCAAACATTTGCATGGGTTTAACCTTAGTCCCTTAATATCCCAGGAAATTTCTTATAGATTTCTACAGGTATTTCTATACTTTCAACTCTAAACAGGGCACCTAAGGCATTTTACAAAGCCTGAAGATAGCAATGAAGGCAAAGCATTCAAACAGATCATAGCTAAAATTTCAACCTAAACACCATTAAAAACCAGATGGAATAAAATGTCCATTCCCCGTACCCGCACAAGGCATGAAGGATCAGGCTAGTCTAATCTCCCTTGGGAGGGAATTCCCAACTGCAACCAAAAAGGCTCTGTTCCATGCTTCCACCATCTCATGATAGTGTGTGATAAAACATGCAATATGGTCTCAGATTAACACAGGCGGTTGATACAGGAGAAGGCCATCCCTCAGATATCAAGGCTGATTAGGAGCACCAATTTCTCATCAAGGGGTATCATTTCAGATTTCAGTAGAAATGGACAGAGCAAGACTCCCAGAAAAAGTCAGTCAGCAGTCCATGAGTAAATTTTCAATCAGATTACAAGAAGCAGAGTCTGTGGCTGCTATAGCTGTACATTCGCAGCAGCTGTTTTCTTGTATGTGAAAAAGATAGGCCACGGAGTGAGCAGTTGTATACATTATTTTCACACTTCTATTCTTAGGCATTAACGGTTTCCTGGTGGAGCCATCTGCCCTTTGTGCAAGTATATTTATTTAGATTTCGCCTTTGCCTCACTTTGCTTATTACATTTTTATATCACCCACCTAGCTAATGCCTTTGGTTTGGTTTAAATCATAAAACTAAACAACCACAAAAACAACAAGAAAGGAACACTATAGATTGTAGGAAGAGGTAGAAACCCAGTGGGAAGAAGGAGTAGAATAGTGTGTCCTGGAAATAGGTGTGGCAGACTAGATATAATTTGGAAATGGAACACTTCATACTGCAACATTGTGTTGTTTGTTGTTATTATGGTTTCTTTGCTCTTTGGTTTTTGTTCTTTCTAAGCTGTCCAGAGAGTTTTAGTAATGGGATGGCATAGAAAAATTTTAAATAAATAAAATAAATAAACATTTTGTATTTCTAATACAATACTTCCTACATATTAATTAATCCATTAACTATTAATTTTGTTTATTTTACTACATATGGTGAAATCTAGTTATGTAAGAGTGGATTTCTGCTTGTGCACTGTGTTCCTTTCAAGTAATCATTTATTTATTTATTTGGCACTTTTGTATATGTTCACAATTGCCTCAGGGCTCTCTGGATGGGTTAAATCATTTTCAACTTATGGGCAACCCTGTAAATGAGTACCCTCCAAAACATCCTGTCCTGGACAGCTTTGCTCAGCAATTCTAAACACAGGATTTCATTACTGCCTTCCAAGTCTCAGTCTTCTTCAAATTTCTTCATTGTAGTCTCCATTTAAATTGATTATTGAGCCAATATACACAAAATCTCTCACAATTTCAGTTTCTTGTCAACTTTAATATGCATAATCACTGTTTTTGTTTTCTTAGTGATCAGTTGCACTCCTCCTTTTCCACTTTCTTCTTTCACTTTCCTCAAGAACTATTTAAATTCAGTGCAACTTTCTGCAAGCAATATGTGTATCTTAAATTATTGTCTTCCACCAATTTCCACTCATTTTTCTTCTGATCCTAGTCCAGCTTTTCTTATATGTTCTGCATATAGATTGACCAAACAGGGAGATAAAAAGCACCCTTGTCTAACACTTT